CTGAAAAAAATCATACATTGAATTAACAACTGCTTGCATTTTAATGACTTAGATTGCCAGGGTTTGTAATTTTAGGTCCTAAAATTTAACACAGCTGTTTATTTAAGCTGTGAATATCTCAACTAAGAATATTTCAAACACATTTGCGTACTTAAAAATTCAATAATTATTTTTCTATTTCCAGATTTCACTCACAAAACGTTTAATACAAGTGACATGTCTTGTGTATTCTGTGGTCTTTAGTACGGTGGCTCAGTGGTTAGCACTGTCACCTGACAGCATAGAGGTCGCTAGTTTAAGTCCCAGCTGGGCTGGCATTTCTGTGTGGAGTTTGCATGTTCTCCCTGTGTTGGTGTGGGTTTTCTCAGAGTGCTCCGGTTTCCCCCACAGTCCAAAGGCATGCGCTATAGGTGAATTGAGTAAATTGGCAGTCTATGTGTGTGTATGTTTCACAGTGCTGGGTTGTGGCAGGAAGGGCATACGCTGCGTAAAACATATGCTGGAATAGTTGGAGGTTCATCCCGCTGTGGCAACCTCTGAAACAGAGACTAAGCCAGAAAATAAATGAATAAATATGTCATGCTTAATGACACTGTTACGTCAATTTACCAGCTTTTGAAACATTAAAATAGCATTTATTTATTGATCGATTTTTTTTACTTGCATGTAATGTTCTCTGTGTGCATATAAAAATCTCTTAGAGTTAAATGTGGAAATCAAAATGGGATGTCTGCACTTTGACCTATATATATTATTATTATTAGCTTTTCTAAACTGTGAGAAGGCAGGGTTTAGTCCTCCTCTGGCCTGAAAAACCAGACATACAGTGATTTTGATGTGTCACCCTGGCATTAGGTGTAGCGTGTCCAGTTTTCAAGGTTGGTGTCTTTAATAAAGCGTGCAGACACAGGCTGATTAATGAGGCTCTGTGCTGCTAATTAGGACAGTGATTCAGTTATTAATGAGTGTGTGTTACAGCTGGAGGGAGCAGGAGAACTCCAGCTGCACTACTGTACTTCACCTCTGTAGAACTGAACACACAAACACACACACACACACAAACTCTCTCTCTCTCTCTCTCTCTCTCTCTCTAAAAACAGTTTGCAGAAACACTTTGATTGACATTCTCCCTTCATACCTGTCATCAGAGAAGGAAAGCCCTGTCCATTGGTGACCATCTCTTCCTCATTAGCATAAACAGCCCATGAGTGAGAAGCAGCCATCCGCCATTATAGTTTTCACCTGCTGAAGATAATGTCAGTGAATAAAAGGATTATAAACGTGGAGTTTTAGATGAAGCACAAATAAACACTGGAGTCTCCATAGACTGACACACTTCTGCACATATTTTCAGTTTTTCACACTGATGACCAGTGGTGGAAAGAGTACTGAAAAATCATGCTCAAGTAAAAGTACCATTACTCGCCTAAAAATGTAGTGCGAGTAGAGTAAAAGTATCTGTTGTAAATTTTACTCAAAGTATGAGTAAAAAGTAGCCCTTTTAAAAGTACTCATGAGTAGTGAGTATTACGCTGTGAAAAGCTGATGCGTTTACATATAATTTGTGGATGTGTGTAAACGTAACATTTTGTAGTGCATTTAGTTATTGCAGCAGGCAGCACGTCATAGGACATTAATTTTAGGTTAGATTTAGTTTGTGATGTCAGGTGACCAAAATTCAATGTTTAGCCAGCATCTAATGATAACGTTAAATGACGTTAATATTTGGTTAATTTTATGTTGTGTTAGAAAGTGACCAAAATCCAATGTCGAGCCAACATCTTAAACCAACGTCATATTGACGTCAAATACTGATATTGATTTCGGACGTCTTCTTGGACACTTTTAATGCTTCCAAAAAGTTTGCTGCATTTATAAATCGCCCATGTCTTGAGGTAGTTCATTATGAGGCGATTTACCTTCCATGTGTGATTTGATTGGGCAGGAATCACAGGACTGATTTTTCTGAACCCCATAGACAAGAAAAAATAAAGTAGTGACTGCAAGTTGAAGGAAAGTAGTGGAGTAAAAGTACAGATACAGCACAAAAATTGTACTCAAGTAAGAGTAAAAGTACACATTTTTAAAACTACTCAGTAAATTACAATCCCTGAGAAAAAGTCATTAATTACAGTAATGTGAGTATTTGTAATTAGTTACTTTACACCACTGCTGATAACATTAGTCCTGCTTTGTGCCACTAGGCCAGGGATGGGCAAACTTGATCCTCGAGGGCCGGTGTACCTGCAGAGTTTTGTTCCAACACTAGTCAAACACACCTGAACAAGCAAATCAGTGTCTTCAAGATCACTAGAATCTATAAGCAGGTGTGTCTGATCAGAGTAGGAGCTAAACTGTGCAGGACACCAGCCCTCCAGGACCTAGTTTGCCCACCCCTGCACTAGGCTGACATTTAGGCGTGTTTAGCTCCGCCCTCTTTTGAAAAGAGCACAATTTCATTTGAATTTAAAGCGACAGTCACCAAAATGGCACAATTTGGATCAAGGCAGTTTCAAAGAAGTATCCAAGATTGTTTGTGGTATTTTGAGTTGAAACTTCACACACACATACACACATCAGAGACTTATTTTACATCTTGAAAAATGGGACATAATAACAGGTCTCCTTTAAGAATCTTGTATTAGTTTAAACGTCTCTTGTGGTATAAAAACTTTCCGTGAATGTTTACAGTCCTTTATCATCAATGTGAATGTCGTAATTGCCTGAATTGTGAGATACCAACTAGTCAAATAGTTTAAAACTATTCATTACAACTGATCATTTTCCTTAGCATTCATTTATCCATTGATGTGGTGTCACTAAGGGGTGGATTTAGTGATTTGGGGGCCCTAAGAAAATCCCGCCATGAGGCTTGAAAGTTCTAAAAAGCACCTTTTGTACTTTAATTTATTTTTAATTTATTTATTTTGCTTTTTTATTCTTATATCACTCAATCTCCTTTTCTACATTTTGTCTCAATGAAAAAAAAAACATGTAAAGCATCTTATAAAACTTTTTAAATGATTTGTTTTGTTTTTTTAAATGGATCCACAACTAAAAATGATGTATAAACTATTTTGGTTTTACAGCTAAATCTTTACCCAATTTGACTGCTGTACTGCTCCATGATTGAGGGTGGGGAACACATTTGCGAATTTGCGAGGTAATTAACATTTAACTTATTTCTTTTGACCCTCATCATACAAAATATGATAGAAAATGATGTTATATATTATGTATAGGTGTAATTTATACTTCTAGGTATTTATCTGGGGGCCCTCAGATTTCCTGGGGCCATAAGCGGCCGCTTACTGTACCTTGCTTATTGGTTATATCCGCCCCTGGTGTCACTATAGAAAAGTACTATTCATTGTGAATGCAGCAAAAACACCCGACAAACAATTAAAGCTGCTTCACATTTATTCAATTACCTGCTCATAAATAAAGATGCATTTTGGCATTTATTTCTTGCCACACAATGGTATATTGGTATACAGTTGAAGTCAGAAAAAAAAAATCAAAGGGGGGCTAATAATACTTTATTAAATATTTCCCAAATGATGTTTAACAGAGCAAGGACATTTTCACAGTATGTCTGATAATATTTTTCTTCTAGAGAAAGTCTTATTTGTTTTATTTCGGCAAGAAGAAAAGCAGTTTTTTAAAACCATTTTAAGGTCAAAATGATTAGCCCCTTTAAGCACATTTTTTCAACGTATAACAATAAGTGTAACGTAATTTAGGCTCATCCGAAAACTTTGAATCACCTTGACCGTCAATTCCATATATTTACATCCACAACCCCGGGTTTTGACTGTTTGGCACCGACTTGTGAACTATAATAAAGAATAATACATAGGTTCAGACATCCCAAGTCTTCTAGAAAATCCCATGGCAAACTACACTAACCGATGAAGCCCAATGGCTGACCATGTCCGGTCTCAATCCACTAACGGCGTCCCCTCCCGGAAACTACTTTGTTCTGAAGTCTGTTTGTTAGTATAAACTTTCTTTAAATTGGATTAGTTTCCACAACCCTAACGTTTTCCCACTCATTTGTTATTGAATGCACAGGGCTGGAATGTTCAGCTTCCCTCAGCTGGTTGCGTTTCTGTTAGCTTTGAGTCTAGTACATCCAGGAGGATGGCTGCTATCACTAAATAAAGCCTCTTCAGTGCTCTGCTTCGGGCCGGATATACTTTATCCCCAACCATCTCAATTTAATAGATATTTTGACAAAAACAAAAAGGATTTTGCTGCACTTTACAGTAAATGGGGCGAAGCAGTGGCAGAGTAGGTAGTGCTGTCGCCTCACAGCAAGAAGGTCACTGGGTGGCTGGTTCGAACCTTGGCTCAGTTGGCGTTTCTGTGTGGAGTTTGAATGTTCTCCCTGCGTTCGCATGGGATTCCCCCACAGTCCAAAGACATGCGGTACAGGTGAATTGGGTAGGCTAAACTGTCCGTACTAGTGTATGAGTGTGTGTGGATGTTTCCCCAGATATGGGTCGTGGCTGGAAGGGCATCCGCTGCATAAAAACGTGCTGGATAAGTTGGTGGTTCATTCTGCTGTGGTGACCCCGGATTAATAAGCCAACAAGAAAATAAATGAATGAATTACAGTAAATGTAAAAATAAAAGATCTTACCTTTGCATCTGCCTTGAAGTTTTCATCAACAACAGCATCTCATGCAGGCCATGCTTTTAATAGATTTTAAATTAAAGCACAGAATGTTAGCATAAAAAAACAACCAACAAACAAGATTACATCTTCTCTAAATGAACTCAAACGTTCAAATACTAAAACTGGACGAATAACACACAGAATAAGGACAAAGGAACGCAATGCTTGCTTTAATAGTTACAATTATACTTTAAATATTTGTAACTGCATTATATCTCCTCCTAAATGACACACAATCATTAACCTTATTATAAAATCACCTTGTATCCTCTCTCAGCTTTCCAAAATATTTGAAGAGACACTGAAAAAGCAAACGTTGTTGAAGAGCAGATAGATATGGATGTCTTTTATTAACCCCAACATACATTTGTCAGTTAGAAAAGTATGAGATACACATTTCAAGTTACTTCCATGTCTTATCTTGTGCAAACACTAGATGGTGCCAGAGGTCATTTAAAACAAAACAAAAAACCTTAATGCAGAATGAATAATAATAATAATAATAATAACAATAATAATAATAATAAGTGCATTTAAAAACTATAAGTTGATTCATTTGTCGAATTTATTGATTCCCAGCTTCATATAAACTGGATGTTGAGGCATAAACATCATACATTTCTACAATTCAACAAAAATATAACCAATATTTACAATTATTGTATTAAAAATACAAAACAAAAAGAAGAGACAAAACAAATGAACAAATACATACTCCACCAATTGTCTTTGTAAAAGACGTACAGGTAAAAGTAGTCCGAAAACCAAACAAAAGAGAGATTCTTCACCAGCTAAATGTACACGTCTCACTTGACATCACATATCGAACAGAGTAGCAGAACAGCTACCTACTACTATTTACCTTGTTGTATTTATGCTTGTACAATTTGTGCAACTTATTTTGCGAAACAAGCGACTCATCTTGGCTTGCCAAAACGTCAATAGAAAACCAAACAAATGGAAGCAGATGGCCGATATATTTACTGTTACAAATGTGTTGTTGTTAACAACCATATCCGCAACCTTTACAAAAACCAAAAGAAAATGCGTGAGAGCCAAAAACCTACAAACAAACAGGCAACTAGAGAAAGAAATTGAAGTAGTGATGTTACAGAATACAGTGGAAAACACTGCACACTTCTTCTTCTTTTTTTCTTCTTCTTCTTTTTAAGTCATTTCTAACTACTGATCAATGTGATCAGCTTAACTCAGTGATTAAAATGAAAGAATAAAGGTGAGTTTTGCTCATCCGGTCGAGTTCCTGTGAGTGATTGTGGAAGCTGTTTGTGCAGCGGTGGCCCAATCCAGGAGAAACATGCACGACTTGAGCCCTCACAACCAAAAAAAGCACACAAACACACCTCCATAATGCTATCACTTTTACAGAGAGGAAGAAAGTAGCACCCGAGTAGGACGACTCTTTATTTATTTTTCTTTTTTTTTTTTTTGCCTGAGTTTCCTGCTTTTGACCACCAGGGGCGCTGTTGTTGTTGATGTTGTGCCTTAACAATCGCATCTGTTAGAAGAACCGCTGATTCGCTTGTGGATTACCCAACAGATGTTCATTTAGTCAGCTTTTATTTCCAGTATCGCGTTTGTCATGATTCACTCGTGCTTTCTTTTGGCTCTCAAACACACTAAGGCTTCATTTTGTCTCTCTGTCCGCTTGAAAAATCGGTGTGCTACGTGTTATCTCCAAAAGTCCTCAAGCCGTGCGAGTTTTAATACTGAACCACACTGATATATGAATAAGACGAATCGTCCTTCATCATCCCAACTGAAATGTGATCGGTTGACACCTTAAAACAGTTAAAAAGTGCTGAAGGGAACTACTAAACACGTCCGTGTGACCTTGTACGCTGAAGGAAAGAGGGAATCGTCTGAATGGAGAACCACTGACTGCAGTTTGTGTGTGTGTGTGTGTAAATGTCGAAGCGCTGTGTTTCGAGTTTCAGTTCATATTTGCGTTCTCCAAAAGTGCCGAATAAGTTATTTTCTAAGCTCTCCTCAGTTCTTCACAGTATTTTTGAGCATGCAGGGCACTGAAGCCCATGCTGCATTAAGGCAGGGCAGGGAGAGTGAGGATGGAGAGAGGCAGTGCTGAAGAGATGTCTGTCTGTGGCCATCAGTCAACGCATTAAAGCCAGTGTCTTCCTCTTTCAGACAGCAGACACTTGTTCATCCTCTGCGGAAAAAAAAGAGAGAGTCTCTGTGAGCATCACTAGTAGTATTTACAGTAGTATATAGTAGTTAACACTTAAAGTGGATCAAAACAGCAGGAATGGGTGTTGTTGAATAGTTTTAGGACCATTTTGATAAACAACTTTGATCCAATTCAAATGCTGACTACCCTAGACTCTTTTCCAAACCCTAGTGACACACAGCAGGAAAGGGAACCATTATTGTACTGTATAACTAATGAACACAGTAATGTATCATTAACCAAATATTAAAGGAGCAGTCCAATTTTAATTAAGATCAATATTCTATAAAAATGATGACACATACAAACATATGAAACGATATACAAGCATTATAATAATGTATAAATATAGCTAGAAATCAGATACTGTATACTATTTATAGAGCTGCACGATTCTGGCTGAAATGAGAATCACTAATTTTTTGCCTAAAATAAAGATCAAGATTTTCTCACGATTCTGTAGATGTAAAATGAAGGCTAATATGAGTGGGCTAGTATTACTGTTATTGTCAAACATGTGGTAAAACAGCAATAGGCTTTGTGTAGCTGTACTGTTGGTTAAAATGCTACATTTTGTATAGACTTGGAATGGTGGACTTGAACAGACTTCAGATTTGTCCTGGTCATTAATGCTGATGATAATTCTGATGTTGTATTATTGTGTTTGTGACATATGCTTACAATCTGTCATTTTATGCTTAAAATTTGTCACTGATGTGATTCTCGTGAATACAGAAGCCTGGGTGGGTATTTTTGCATTTCGGCGGGTTCAGTCTGCTACATCTGGCAACACTGAGCTTTCGGTTTCATTTTCAGCAGTTCACCTCCTGCACGACTCCTGAACAATCACTCTGTGCCACAAACTGAATGTTATTTACAACATTATTAACGTTACCTGTAATTCACAGCCTATGCAGGTTCTGTTCGCTAAAGTAGGCTTCATTCAGAGGTGCGCTCGCGACTGTCCACTCTGTGGTAACAGCTGACGGTCAGCTCACGTCACATGTGATTTTGCAATTGTAAGTACATTACATGAAGACAGAAATGGCATTTTTGAGATGAATTATATCCTATAAATGCAGCATGTGACTCTTTCAACACTGTTTGGAGGTGTCCACGTTGCTGAACAACGTATGTAAAACAATGTGAAGACTAGTGTGGCCACCATTGCTTCTCTCCTGAACTTGAAAATATGATTGACAGAATTGTAGAAATGCTGGATTAAGATAGTCTAGGGGGTCAAATCGAGATCGCAATCTTTTTACGATTATTTGTGCAGCTCTAACTATTTATAATAGGAATGTCAGCTTTTAAGCATGTCGAGCAACATCGCAGCAATATTGGTCCAGCTTCGAATGGAAATATTGTCTTTTGCACTATTAATCCTGGCAGTTGTACTGTATCTTCCAGCAATGTAATCTCTCTAACATATTTATAATAAAAAAAAAAAATATATATATATATATATATATATATATTTTTTGTAATTTGTACGAAACGAACGCAAGGTACAGCCCATCCTGTCAAACACATATCACATATACAGCCCACAAACTTGTAAACAAAGAGTCGCTATCATTTCTGGATGAGCTTTGTATCAAGACTGAGTTGTAAATTACTTCAGAAGAGCAACGTGATCAGGTGATCATTATCCAGAGATTGATAATGTGTAGATGAGGTTGGCGTCGTGATCTCGTTACTTTCGAGTGCGCATGCAAGTTAGCTCAGGCAACCTCAAAATGTGCCTTTTTTTTTTTTATTCGGACGTTTAGAAACAAAACTTACGAGACAGTTGTTGCTTAAGTTCATTGGTGATTCCAAGGATGTCATGTAATCGTTAGCCTGGCAAACAGTCTTGAAGTATTTGATGTTTCCCCATTCAGACAGAATGCCCAAGAAAACAGCGTGAGAGGCGGAGATGACAACAGAGTGAAAAGACTTGCCTTAAAGGGATTTTGATATCTCCACTTTTGTACGTTTTAAGTCTAATTTTATTTTAGATAAACCTTTATTAATTAAGTGTTATTGTTGATTTAAATTTCAGTTAGCCTAAGTTTTTTAATAGAACCTGAAAACGAAAAATCATGAACAATTTAGCAGAGTCAAATCAGGAACTGCACTTCAAGTTTGCCGTTATGCTGAAACTACTCTAATTTTCAGTATCTACTCATACTACGTGCCATGCTGTATAAAATTGGCTAGAAAGTGCACTGGGGTTTGCAACAAAGTCACACAATTAAATCAGAAAATAAATAATGCTCTGGCCTTACCATACCAAAGACACCATGACAGGACATAATACTACTACTAATAAACACGGCTACTGTGGAAAATGACAGCTCCTCGACAGCGCTAACACTATTTTTCATTTGCTGCCTGACAACACCAACATGACGTCAGGCTCTGTATCATGTGCTGAAGCGTTTATGATGGCAGATCTAGTGATTTCTCCAGTGATGGGTGAGAGTGAACACACACACACACACACGGCAGAGCAGGAGTGATGGCTGCACACATGCACTGAGTGAGAGGTGCTGTTGGCTGGTGAAGGTGGTGGTGGTGAAGGAGTTTTTCTCCAGCATGCAGAGCCCGTGTGCTTCAGTCAGTCAGTGAATGAGCGCGTTTACATGCACATTCTTAACCCAATTGAGCTTAATACGTTGAAAAGTGAACAGTAAACGAGTAACATGGTTTTATTTATCAGAGAAAGCTCAAAGATCGTTTTAAGGGTTCGTTCACACTAAACTTTTCATTTTGTCACTATTTACTCACCCTTAAGTTGTGATTTATTGGCATCTTTAATCTGTCAAACACAAAAGAAGATATTTTTTAAGAAAGCTGGAGGATGGTAACCAAAATATTCTATGGAAGTAAATGGTTACCGGTTTTTAGCTTTCTTCAAAGTATCTTTTTTTGTATTTGACAGAAACCTCAAACATCTAATAGGTTTTAAATAAGCCAGAGTAAATGATGTCAGATATTTTGGGTGAACTACCTTTATAAACTGATCATTGCTGCTATATTTTTGCCTCTTTTATGCCACTATCACTCAGCATCTGACACAAATTTACCTACTTTGTCAATTTATTGAAAAAAAAATCTGGCTTTTATAAATCTGGATTTTACTAGAACGTCTGTGTTTAGCGGCTTTGACACAATTTACATTGTAAAAGCGCTGTTTAAATAAACTTGAATTGAATTGATCTCCACGTTTGTAACATGTGACAGTCTTTACTGCAGATTTAAGCACATTCAGACAAAGCAAATGATTCCCAGAAATAAGGACGAAATATAATGCAAAGAATAATCAAAATGTTTTCACAGCAATCCACTTCTTAAAACTTAAATACTTAAAAGTAGTGGTGTAACGGATCACAAATCCCACGGTTAAGCCTCCTTTTTACTGCACACGACAAGCGACAGACCGGAAGTCATTCATTTCCAATGGAGAGTCGTCTGGGAGCTGCGTGGAGTTCCGATCATCTCCGTATGCGGAAAATTCATTGAAATATTTGAACTCCTGCAACTAGACTGTATGCGAGTGGCCTACCGGATGTGATGTATTTCAGTGTTGTCCAATCAGGTCTGTGTGTGCGAGATGAGAAATAGAATTTTTTTTCATTATTTTTTTTTTATCAGAAAAAAAAAATCTACATTAAAAACATTTCTATTTATTAATGAGTAATAAAAAAATATATATATTTTTAATGCTGTCTCCACATTCACTCCAACATTTTTAGCGGTCTATGAGTTTCTAGTATTCATTCATTCAACTATGGTGAACTCATGGAGAATAAAAGCTCTTGCTTTTGCGCTCCTTTATTTTGGACAATGTGAGAACAGCTTCTCTCCCATGGTGCACGACAAAACAGAAAATTCTGTGCGACTGCCACAAGAGGGCGTATTCCGACAGTTGTGTCCAAATGTCGTGTGCAGTGGAAAGGCGGCTTTAGGATCACGTTCTGGTTTTTTAGTCTGGATTGGACCATTTTGTGGATCAGTCAAAGAAGACAAATGTCATTTGGTTTGCATTTATTATAAAAAAACAGCACCGCGAGACACTTTTGTGTAATACTCAGTACTGTGAAAAAATTACTGTTACTATTCCTGTTGCTGATATTACTAAATGTAGAAATCTAACATAACTTGTACAATCTATATTTATTTTTAGTCTTATTTTCAATAAATGATTCAGTGATTCACTTAAAGCATCATGTTTCATTGCTAAATGATCATTTTTGAAGAATTATTCAGTGGCATGTTTATGATGGCTGGTTGTCGCCACCTATTGGTTAAATAATATAGTTGCTGTCAACAACAACTTTCATTTTTGAGCATAGTTAAATGCATATGATTGTGATTTTAATCTTTACCCTAAACATCAGTGGATTTACCTAAACTATAAATTGTTATCCTAGTACTTCTGTGTTTGTAACTCAAAAGACTAAAGACTGAATCTCTTTCTTAATTTTTGTCTATTTCAAACACAGATTTGAATGCAGCCATTCAAAAGAATAATAAACATATGCAAATCACTTTTATTTATCATTTATGTTGCGTGGGTGTTGAGATCCTGAACCTTGAATAACCTCAGACACCCACCACATCCCAAATAACCCACCACAACTTCTTCCGTCATCATTATATTTTACAGGAAAGCCTAAATGCTTTGACATGTGATTTGAATGACGTGGTTGGTGATCTCTCTGCGAACATTACAAATTTTTGATTAATCCACAAGAGCCGTAAGAATAAAATGTGGGTAAACCGTGGATTGTAATCAATACGAATCACAGATCAATAGTGATCCGTTACACCCTTACTTAAAAGTTATATACTGAAATTTTTAAATGACTAGCTCACTTCCAGAATGAAAATTCCCTAGTAATTTGCTCACTCCCTTGTCCTCCGTGTAAACATTTGACAGCAGTACTGTCCACCATACTTACACCTTAGGCTTTTCTGGTTTTGACTGCTATGTAATAACACACACATTTAGTAAAGCTGCTTTGGAACAATTATTATTGTGAAAAGCGCAATACAAATAAACTTGACTTGAATTTGGATATTTGTATTAAAGTTTACCTTAAAAGTTTTGATGTCACATCCCTGAGATGTAAAGCTATACTAACCCGATCATATCAGCGCGGATTACATGTATTGGCGGGTTTGCATATAGCCCAATACAACAGGTCATGTCAAACAGCCGGTTTAGCTGAATAGCGGTGTGCATGTAAACGTGCTCAGTGCGTGTGCGGGTGGAACTGGAGTTTATGATGTTTTACCTTCCTGTCGGGGTGGTGTATGTAACTCATGGCCTGGGGGGAACTGCTGTGTGTGGACCTCTCCTCCTCTGAGCTCTGAGTTTGGGAGACAAGCACTCACCCTCCTCCTCCACCTCCACTGCCTCGTCCTCCTCTCGGCCCCGGGGGTCCGGTTTCCCTGCGGCTGGGGGCTGCTGGGAGTCGAGGGAGTGTGTGACGAGGCGCGAGCGCTGCAGGGCGGTGGTGTAGTCTGGTGGTTTCCTGCCCGAATGTGGCGTTCCCTCGGTCACATCTGTGATGGTCAGCGCGGTGTAACCCGGCGGCGTTGGTGGAGGGTCCCGATAGCGGCCGTCCTTCCGTGCTGGAGGGAGGAGATGGACACCACAGCTCTGTTTAATATCCCAAATGCTTCTCGGAAATGCCGGCGGATGCATGCACTAGATCAGTGTGAGTTGGATGGCTTGTTGTGCCGTTTCATCTTGTTGTGGAATAATGGGGTATACGCACAGCTAGTGTTTTTTTCCCCCTACCGAAACACTTCCGCTGAAAGGATAATGTGGCTATTTTTGCTATATTACATACGGTTTCTTTTACAGTATTGATGTTGTATTGTAAATAAAATACAATCCGCTAAATAGACTTAAGCATTCGTTAGGTTGTTTAAGCCATTTAAACATAGTTGAAACCAGAAGTTTACATACATTCGAGAGAATTTATTTTTAGAGAATTTATTATTAATTTCTAGACAGTCAAAAGTTTACACACATTTCCCTGGTGTTTTATTTAGCTTTGCTTTTAAACTGTATAACTTTGGTCAAATGTTTTGAGTATCCTTCCACAAGTTTCTCACAATAGTTTGAAGGAATTTTGGCCCATTCCTCCTGACAGAATTGGTGTAACTGAGTCAGATTTGTTGGCTGTCTTGCTCGCACAAGCTTTTTCAACTCTGCCCACAAAATTTTAATAGGATTGAGATCAGGGCTTTGTGATGGCCACTCTAAAACATTCACTCTGTTGTCCTTAAAGCACATTTTAACTAATTTGGCAGTATGCTTAGAGTCATGGTCTGTTTGGAAGACCCATATGTGGCCAAGTTTTAATTTCCTGGCTGATGACTTGAGATGTTGCTTCTGTATTTCTACATAATGTTCTTTCTTCATGATGCCATCTATGCTGTGAAGTGGACCAGTCCCTTCTGCAGCAAAACAGCCCCACAACATGATGCTGCCGCCCCCATACTTCACAGTTGGGATGGTGATCCTAGGCCTGTAAGCTTTCCCTTTTGTCCTCCAAATGTAACACTGGTCATTATAGCCAAACAGTTCAATCTTAGCTCCATCAGACCAGAGGACATGTCTCCAAAAACTATTATTTTCCCAGTGTAATTTAGCAAATTGTCACCTGACTTTTTTGTTGATTCTGGCTTGTTGATAACTCCATGTTGTCACACAAGGAAGCAGTGTGTTTGAGGTTTTCCTTAAATACTGTTCTACAGTTGTGCCTCCAATTAACTCAAATGTTGTCAATTAACCAATCAGAAACTTTCAAAATCTTGACAGCATCATTTGAGCTTTTTCAGAGGCAGAATAATCTTAGCATGTGTAAACTTGACTTTCAAGAAAAGTTATAACTATTTCTCAAAACATATCTCTCTCATTATTCTGCTATTAAGTAGAACCACATTTGATAATCCTAACTTACCTAAAAGAGAAAAAGTTTAGTCACATTAAGATCTGGCTTTTTTTAAAATGGTTATGTGCCTTTATATACAGTGTATGTAAACTGTTGTGTCATCAGTAGTGATAAAACTCCATTGAAAATACTGTGGTAAATTAAATGTTCATATTTTAAAGACATGCTGCGGGACAATGGAATTTACAGGGCTTCTTGTACATTATGACAGCCACTTTATATCAAATATCAATCAGACAGTAAAGATCATTGATTTTTAAAGGAAAAAGACCTTAAACATTGTGATTTTGTAACGTCATTAAACTGGGTTACTGAAAATTAAAATTCCTTCAGCATAGGCCCTATTAAATAAAGAAGTTGTCAGCAACAATATATAATGTTTGCTGTGGTTTATTAGCGCAATTATTACACGGCTGTCTGCAATACTTGATTCTGATTGGTCAGTCACAACATTCCAAGTTATGTTATTCCCAGATAACATTTCCTCTGAAACTAATAATACAGGCTCATCTGGGTACTGCAAATCATCCTGATCATCAGTGAATACATGTTCACATCCACATGTTCTATAGGCTTTTCTGTCATGCTTCTGTTTTTGAAGGTTTGATGCCATTTTGTGACTGAATGATATGTAGATTAAAGAATGCTCCATTCCACAGTTATTGCTGAATAATAAAAGTATTACGGCTCAGAACAATGTTTGTTCCTTTTTTTTTCTTTGTCTTTTTTTGTGGTATGCAGTAATGTAAAATCTGGATAAAATACATCCAGGAGGGTGTTTTTCACAATATAAAGCCCTTAGATTTAAACAGCTCTGCCTTTCAGGTTTTATTCTGCAACAACAACCGCCTAGATATACATTATCCCTTACTTATCTGTTACCAGTGTGTTATGGTAGCTTCCCTGTGTGAATTTGTTGACTAAACTGATGCAACCGGCGAAGGCAGAAACCCTGTTTGCAATCTACACCGATAAGGTGAAGTAGCTCATGTTACACATAATGTCGTAGTACAATCGTTTATAAGGCTTTAAAGTAAGAGTCTTTTTATTTGAATAACTGTTCAGACGTGAGGGTAAGGCTGTTGGGTAATGATTCATGTTCGGTTTCATGTCTGATCTCTCTCTTTCTCTCATTAATTTCTTCGCTTCCTCTGACAAAACCCTCTTTGGTTTCCATCAGCTGTGGCGTTGGTTTTGAGACTTGCATATTAGATTGTTTTCATCTTATAGTTCACTTTTGGCTAGCTCCACCCAGCCTACGGTCAAAATATGATGATATGATATGTGTACTGACCTAGATCATGAAAGTCGCAAGATTGATTTTAGGTAATACAGGCTCTCTATCTGAAAGCAATGGCAGTAAAATTCCCTCAGTTACGAGTAATATATAATTTTATATATTTCATATTTTGTGTTTGAGCTTTAGAATTGTGTGTTTTTATATTTTCATGCAAAATAAATAAGTCGGTGCAGTTCCTGATAAAAAATTGTTACCAAAAATTAAAAACGGTCACATGCATCAGGTTTGACAGTAAATACTGCGTCCAACCTGGCATGATGTGGCAAAACGGGTAACATTTAATTTGGGCAACACTTTAGGAAATCAAAACTCTATGAAATTTGAAAATTGACTGGAAATGGTTGGATATGAATAAAACGAATGTCCAGTTGTTTATTATATACTCTGTATGAATTAATATTTTTTTACATCAACATTTCTACCCAACTCATCTTTTAGAGCTTGGCATAACGAGAAAAATGTGTATTAATTTCCACACATAAACATGCCCATTAAAAATGGAGACTTAATTAAGTTATATAACTTTTCCACATTTATAAAATGACACTTTTAAATTAGGCTACATTCTGTAAAGATTAAATGAATCAAAGCACGTTTCGGCTCATGTTAACAGCTGTTTAGTCTCTGGCCCTGCTTCCACTTTGTATTACCATGTTTAAATGTGTCTCCTTCGATCACTTTACATCCTATAATGATCACGTGTTTGGTCAGTAGACTAAAAGTAGGTGATGTAAAGGCTGCTTGAACACATTTAATATGAAAATAATCCTATCCAATGCGTTTCTGAGAACATCTGAAGTGGTCAATAAGTGGTCAACCATTTTAGACTCCATTTAGACCCGCCTTTAGCATCATCCACTTTTGATCTAAATGCATCTGAAAGGGGTAATTCATACAAAAATGAATATTCTGTCATCATTTACTCATCTTTAAGTTGTTTCAGATCTTGAGTTTCTTTCTTCTGTTAAACACAAAGTTTTTTAAACCTTCCATAGTATGTGTTTTTCCTACTACACTAGTCAATGGTAACAGCTTTCTTCAAAACAACGTCTTTAGTGCTCAACAGAATGGGGTTGAAACCACTTGCAGATGAGCACATTTTCATTTTCAGGTAAACTATCCTTTGCTTCCTGGTGTAAACAGAGCTTTACTTACAATCATTTCTGGCAGAGCTTCATCCCCTTGGTTGAGAATTAATGCATGAATTCCATTCAATGGAACCAACATTGTAGTAGTAGCTGTCGTTGTTATTATTGCCATGTTTACTGTCGTTTTTACTATAATTACTATTACTGTTGTCATTTGCCACCATTGATTGGTTTTGCTTTATATCTATTATATTTTATTTAAATCTCTATTACTTGTTTTCTTATTTATATACTTTCACCTGTCCAGCCAGTTACCTTTATACACACACACGCACTCATGTTGTTTTTTTCTCTTTGTTTGCCACTGTTTTCAATTTGTATGTGATTTCATGCAATTTGTGTACCTCTTTGCATATCAAAAAAAAGAAGAATTCCCTCAGTTAAGAATAATAAATAATTCTAGACATTATTTTAAATATAAAATTAGTGTTTCTTTAAGATCTGTGTTTGATCTTTAAGATTGTGTGTTTCACGTGTGTTTCCATGCAAAATAAATGACTTGGTGCAGTTCCTCACAAAAAATAAATAAATAAACAAATAAAAAATATTACCCAAAAATGAAAGTCATAAATGGCCACATGCATCAAGTTTGACAACAAAGACTGTGTCCAACCTGGCATAATGTGGCAAAATGTTTGGTTTCCTTTGTTTTACTATTTGTATATAAATACTTACATGTAATTCGTGTACCTCTTTGAATAATAATAATAATAATAATAATAATAATAAAGCATGCATCAATAAATATATAAAAATAGTATAAATTAAACTAAAAAATTAAATAAAAAGCAAAAAAGGAAATATTTTATATATATATATATATATATATATATATATATATATATAAAAGAAATGGCCAAAATTTAGCATGATGCTTTGACACAAGTTTCCAAACAAAATGAGTGCAAATAAATATGAACAGAACTGTCATTTTTGGGTAAACTATCCCTACACCAGTTTGCTGTGTTGACCCTTACTGATGGAAGCCTTGGTGTTTCCTGCGGTGATGGGTGAGGGCCGTCGGCTGTGCTGTCTGGACTCTTCCGACCCGGTGGAGGTGATGCTGCTGGTCTCTGGATCTGTGGTCACATCCCTCCCTCCTCTCCGTTTGATGGTGCCAGTGTCGCCTTCAGAGTCCTCGCCCCAACATGCCACCGAAGAAGAAGAGGAGCATGCGGATGCCCAGCTCCCTCTGCTGCCCCACAGGCCTGCGCCCTCTGCCAGCGCCTCCCAGCTGCGGCCCTGCTGCATGGTCTGGATGTTATCATGAGAGCCGCTGGAGCACGAAGTCCAGCTGCCACGACCGGAATCCGCAGCGTCCAGGGACACCCGGTCACCCTGGTCCTGCGTGAGCTCCTCTGAGCTGGGTGAGGACAGGACGGTGGCGCCTGCGTACAGACCACGACAGTCCTGCATGGAGGAGTAGGACCTGAAACAAAGATGTGTTGAAGGTTAATTCTACAATGCCAGGATGTAATGATCAACCAAGTCATCCAAATGATCTTATTTTGGAACACAAACTAAGCTATTTTCAGTGAATGCGTTCAGTTTAACTTCTGATTCACTATGATTGGTAAATGACTATCAATAATAAATGACAATAAACCACTGTGCTTATAACAATACATTAAAATTATGAACAGAAAAAAAAAAACATTGCAGCATATAATAAACTATAATAAACCATTAACTCCTAATTTGCTAATAAAATATTAGCTGGATTTAGGTATTAGGTAGGAATAGGGACGTAGAATAAGATCACTAAGTACTAACAGCCAAGGCAGGTAATGAGCCACTAGTAGAGAGTCTAGTGAGAACAGGTACCTAAAGGACAGGTAAAGTGCTATGAAATGTGTATTTTTTTATTGATGTAATTAAAATTTGTCACTGTTTTGGAGCACACTAGCTTATAGATATCCTAAACACTAACATACTGATACTACCCTTTAAAAAACATTATTTTAATTTCACGGGACCTTTAAACTAAAGCTTCACCGAAATAAACCTTCCATTAATGAAGTGAAGGTTATGCCTTCCTGTAACTTTTAATGGCAAGCAAGAACTGATAATAATAATAATAATAATAATAATAATAATAATAATAATAATAATAATAACAATAATAATAATAATAAAAATAAAATTAATAATACAATTAATAACAATAATAATAATAATAATAAAATTATTATTATTAATAATAATAATAATAATAATAATAATAATAATAATCATAACAACAATAATAATAATAATAATAAAATTTATAATAATAATAATAATAAAAATATTATTATTATTAATAATAATAATAATAACAATAATAATAACAACAACAACAATAATAATAATAATAAAATTAATAATAATAATAATTCTTTGCATTTATATAGTGCTTTTCTGGACACTCAAAGTGATTTAGACATTTTTTTGGAGGGAATCTCCTCATCAAACACCAGTTTGCAGCTTCCACCTGGATGATGCGATGGCAGCTAAAAAATGTTTTGCTGCTGGCTGATAAAATGTGTTCCTTCTACAGCGCGGCATTTGAGCTCGAGCCCGTCGGAGCCCTACTTTTTTTATGCCCCAAGGGCAAGGCTTCGGCCCAATTTTCACGTCATAGCTAGCACACATATCGGGCTTTAGGCCTGTTTTAGAAAAATACTTTTAAAAAGTATAATGAGATCTAATGCGTGCAGTCTAGAAGCGCCAGTGATGCCTTGCACATAGAGATTTCCAGCCACGTGCAATGAAGACTATAAAGAGAAAAATTGCCAATGGCGAACTTCTGGTCAACTTTTCAAATAGTGACAACTTTAAATGATGACTGAAGAGCCAACTGGTTATGCACAACTTATAAGTGTGAACTCACTGTGCACCCCATATTGATTGGATATCGATGTCACTTAAAAAACTAAAACTTTTATTTAAAATACAAATACAAAAAACTCCAAACATTTCTCTAAATTATTATGAGAAAAAATCTAAACGAAAAAACATCAACTTTCTATTAAATACAGATTTTGGTCTATTTTAATGACTGTAACAGTAGAAGGCTTCGGGTCAGACTCCAGACAAGGGCTGGGCTACTACCTGTGCTTCTCAGGCCAGGGCTTGGCTAGTGCTAAGATATAAGGCCTGTGGAGGGCTCTAGTTCTTTCAATGCAATGTAAGTGACTTCATATAAAAGCATCTGCTAAATGCATACATGTAAATATGACTTTATTTTATATGAAACATGGTTTGATGTATACAGTGTAATTACCGTCAAGCAAGCAAATCATAAGAAAGCACATGCACATTTTGACTGGCGCTGAAAGAGAGCGATAAGTGATTATTTGTAGATAGTGTGCTTCACACACACCACTAATTTAGTCATATGCAACGTCTTTTAATGCAGCAATAGAAATGCATTGGAATAATCAGCCTTACCAACAAAGATATCCTTCAGAATGATTGTCCAGACAACAACTAGTTAAAAACTAATGCTTACCCCAAGCTGTACTGGTCAGGGTCAGCAGTAGCTCTGCGCTCGAGCCGGTGGCCACTGCCGTGTCCTTCTCCGGCCGTTCCTCCGTAACGCTGCCGGCGCTCGTCCTGCCCCATGTCCAGAGAAGAAGTGCTCACCAGACTGGAGCGGGAGGAGATCTCACTGTGGCCAGAGTCGGACAGGTAATCACCAGCTCGTCCATAACCTGAAAGATGAATGCATAAAGCAAGATGATCAGGAACATGGTTTACTCCCAATATAGACCCTGTGGTACTCAAGTCCCTTTACTTCCATAGGATTTCATACAAAACCTAAAAGAAATCCTGCTACAAAAATATACTTTTACAGCAGATTGCAAAAAAAAAGTACGGTGGTTGATTGTAATCTGAGCTTGTTGCCTTTACTTAAGGATTTGGCTAAAAGCTGTGGAACAAAGCTATCAAAGATCAGACTTGTTGTGTTAACTTTACATTTAGGGTGCTTTTACACCTGTGAATCAATCATTCAGTTGTTCCGAAACAGAGATTACAAATGATACATTGTTGCTCTTTGCTCTTGGAGCGATTCGCTTTCACACTGCAAAGTTTCTAAAACGGAACAAAAGAGCTAAAACAATGTAATGTAATGTGTATGTAAAACAAGTCACGTGCGAGTAAACTCTCCTCACATTGGTCAGAGTGTCAGGGTTTATTTTGCAGCGTCCCGCTAAGCTGTCAGGAGAGGTGGTGGTTTGGTGGTGATTGACAGGGTGCGCGTGCGCGACGTGTCTGAGGAGAGATGCGGTGGGGAGGGGTGAGAAGGGTGCACGACGATGCATATTTGAGGACCGGGAGGGAGACGCGAGATTACCGGGAGATCATTACTCGTTTGCGGTCATCCGGAGACTCGCGAAACTTCCCGCCCTACTCATAATTCTCTCTTCATATAGCCGTAAGCCTATTACATATCCATAAAACACTGTGATATAACCGCGCTCGGATCGGATCACTTTCTCACTGCAATCGAACCGCTCCAGGGTTCGTTTCAATCGAGCCATGACCACCTCACTCAATCGATCTCGGAGCGATTACTTTGGCGCGGAACAGAGCGCGATTGCCCTGTTCACATATGCCAAACGAACCGCGCTAACTGGGCAAACGAGATACGTTCCGAAACAAAAGTGTAGGTGTGAAAGCACCCTAAAATACAGCTATAACAACAGTTACAAATATAAATGCTCTAAATTAATCATAGAAGATTTGTCTTCCTTTTTACAAGTGATAAAATTGACCATAAGACTTCCCAGAAGATTAAACTTTCAACCATTTATGTACTGCAGGGGTGTCCAAACTTGGTCCTGGAGGGCCGGTGTCCTGCAGATTTTAGCTCCAACTTGCCTCAACACAGCTGCAAGGATGTTTCTAGAAGCCTTGATTAGCTAGCCCAGGTGTGTCTGATTGGGGTTGGAACTAAACTTTGCAGAACACCAGCCCTCCAGGACCGAGTTTGGACATGCCTGATGTACTGGAACTACTACACATATTATCACTGGACTAAAAGCCTGGGCTGAGCCATAAATCGCTATGCTACTGCAAGAGAAGAGCATCACCTTTAAGCCAACCTCCATTTTCCTAATCCATCTAATAAAAACCAGCCATTTACATTTGTAGCAGAGCAGCGTTAGCCCTCACTAAACACACACACATACACAGTTACAGCACTAGGCTGCCTCTGCCAGCTACAACAGGAGTAAAACACTGTCTAGACATGAGAGCGTTCACACAAATGCCAGAATATACATACAGTTAAAGTCAGAACTATTAACCCCCCAACACACCAGAATTTTTGGCCCCCTGTTTATTTCTTTCCCCAATTATTAGTTTAACTAGGCAGGTTAGGGTAATTAGGCAAGTTATTGTATAACAATGGTTTGTTCTGTAGACTATCGAAGAAAAAAAATCTATTTCGTAGTGTGCCTTTGATGTGGAATTAATAAACAGCTCACTACATTTTGAGACAGAGCAATACAAATAATTATTAATATTTTGTTTGTGTGTGTGTGAACTCTCTCTGGCTAAATCTGCATCCAGGCCCTGTTACCTGTTGGTGATTTACTACACAAGGAGGAAAAGCCCTTCATACCATGACTTCTTATTGATGCGATGGCTGAACAACACAGGGTGAAACAGGTAAGAGATGACACACAACATTATAGGACACAAATTCAATGAGAATCATGGAAATCGATGCATCTGGAACTGTAAACTCGAGCAGAAATGGCTGGATATTTAATTTAAACTGTGAGAATGATTTACCACTAGATGACACTATATTAAATCAGCAATGAAAACATGTCAGCACAAGGGGGCGCCAGCTACTGTATCAGAGATATAAACCGTGATTTTTTTGCTGTCTGACTTTATCTCTGCATGCGAACAACAGAGCTCTGAATCCACAGTTCAGTAGGAGACACCAAATTGAGCATGCAAACACCAAAAGTAGAAAACTAGGGCTGCAGGATACTGAAACAATATACAATATAGTATTGCGATAACGATATTTGTAATGTAATAACATTTCCCTAAAAAAAGCTTTTTTTATTAGCTATGTTTTTAAATTATTTAATGATTTTAAAATAGACAGGTAAACATACATTTTCAGATCTGATTAATTCTAAAAAACTGCACCAAGGAGCAAATATTTAGTCTTTAAATTACTACTAATGAGTGAAAACCTCAGCAGACATTCTGACTCTGATTGGCTGTTGTCATTTTCCGATGTTATCCAGAATCCAACTATTTGTGTTTATTTGCAGCTCCTGGGTCACCTTTGAGCCACTCCAGCCAACAGCAGAAGGGAAACTACTGTGGAGGTGGGGATAAAGATAGTTGGACCCTACCTGATTGGTCAAATTTACATAAAATGCATAAAATAAATGTCATTTATCACACGTCTGCAATACGTACAGTTGAAGTCAGAATTATTAGCCACATATAATCATAATAATAACTCATCTCTAATAACTGATTTATTTTATCTTTGCCATGATGACAGTAAATATTATTTGATTAGATATTTTTCAAGACACTTCTATACAGCTTAAAGTGACATTTAAAGGCTTAACTAGGTTAATTAGGCAAGTCATTGTATAACAGTGGTTTAGTCTGTAGACCAGGGGTCCCAAACTCGCGGCCCGCGAGCCATATTGCCTCAGTGCAATATTTTGTGGCCCGCACCGACCACTGTACACTGACAGAATATGCGGAGCGGGGAGAGAGAGCGCTCCCCGCTCCGCTGATTCTATCCGTACACAGCGGTCACTGGCATTCCCCGCCCGCCATGTAAACAAAGGGGCGGGGATGCCGGTGACGTCACCTCGCACCCCGCCCCTTTGTTAGACGCTGTGACGGGCGGGAAGGAGGGAACTCGCGCCGGCCAGAACCAAGGTAAGCTTTTCCCACCCCTGCCTGCCACTTAGCTACCTATCTGCAGCCTGCCACCTACCTAGCTACAGCCTGCATCTTATACATATTATAGGTAGATACAGACTGGTACAGACTGATGTGACTGGAGTGGGGTGGGGGTGTTTTATTTATACATATATACGCCTTTTTTTAGGTGAGGGCAGGCACGTGCACACATAGGGCTCAACCTGTGCAGTGCACATGCCCTTTTTAGTCTTGGATAGAAAGTGCCCTTCCAAAACGATCAAAAGTGCCCCCGCGACGCGGCACACCTTCGGTCCCGCCCTTCAGTAGGCGCGCGACAACACAGCTGATCAGTACGCGCGCGATAACACCGCTCTTCAGTACGCGCGCATCCACTCTGCAGTGGGTGAAGGAATGGAAGTTTTGAGTGAGTTCCCCCAAGCCATACTGAGGGTCTCAACTGCTTCCGCTCTAAAGCCAAATGTGGTTCAGATTTGTGAGAAGAAGCGCTGTCAAGTCTCTGGCAGCAAGGAGTAGGCAAAAGATGCCATGTTCAGAAGAACTGTTCATAATCTTCACTCAATGTTCTATTAATGTTCAGGACACTTCATGTTCAGAAGAAATAATTAAAACTGTTAATAATGACATTTGAGGACTTTTTTTTTTTGTGAAATCCCTTATGCGGCCCAGCCTCACCCAGACTTTGCCTCCTGCGGCCCCCAGGTAAATTGAGTTTGAGACCCCTGCTGTAGACAATCAAAAATACTGCTTAAGAGGGCTCATAGATATATACACTAGATATCGCATAGGGACCCTGAGCATGCGTCAGTAGCGCCGCCATATTGGTACAGTGCTCCCAGGACAAATGTCAATCAACCACACAAGTCAACACAGTGTTATTACGTGAAGATGCTGGACTTTAGCGCTGTCTACGGGTGTAGTAACGAGCAAACAAAGAAAACAAAGCACAAAGGCAGAACATTTTATAGGTAAGATTCAGTTTTTTTTACCTTTTTTGTATGTTCTGAACTTTTGTGCTAAACAAGTCACTTTATTGATGATAATATAGTCACTTACTGCATTTACCATGAGACAAAACAGCAACTCACACTAAACACTCGGCTTATGCTAGTTTTGTTGAATAAAATCAGCAAACAATGCAAAAGAAATATGACAACGAGATGCTGCGCTGCCAGAAACTTGTATAATATTGTCCGCTAAGTGAAGTTGTTCATAACGGAAATTCATTCACAAACGAATCGCTCCCTCCGTCAGTATGAGAAGTGAAAGCAGGAGAGGAGGTGTGTTTCAGGACACAGATTAGATCAAATTTAACAGGGAGTGTGGATAGTACAGTTCCATACACCCAAACACAAGCTTTTTGTCAGGAATGCCTGTGCGATCACTGATCCATCAATAAAGAAAAGTGATGTGAAATTAAAATTTTCATAATTTAAAAATGAAAATAGCATACAGACCTCCGGGAAAACTACCAATTATAGATATATGTATAAATCTCTGGCTCTGGATGGCCACAGTCCTCCACCGCAGCTTGGTCCTGCATTCATTTCAAAGGAGCGCTACCCTGTACTAAAATGGCAGCTCTATTGACGCATTCCTTCAAATAGACAACAACAGGGTAGGCGACATCTAATGTAAATATCTATGAAGGGGGCTAATAATATTGACCCTAAAATGGCTTTAAAAATTTAAAACCACTCTAGCTGAAATAGAGCAAATAAAACTTTCTGCAGAAGAAAAAATATTATAGGAAATACTGTGAACAATTCCTTGCTCTGTTAAACATCATTTAGGAAATGTTTGAAAAAGAAAAAAATTCACAGGAGATGGAATAATTTTGACTTCAACTGTAGTTTGTATATACTATTATCGCGATAACGATACTTCGGCGATATATTGTGCAGCCCCAGAGAAAACAGTCTGTCTGTATTCTTACCTTTTTTGGGTGAGCTGTGAGGAGATGTTGGAGGAGACGAGAGCTGTGAGGAGTTGTTGGACACACTGTCCTCTGCCTGCTTTCGGTGTCTGTCTCCTGCCTCCTCTGAAAGGGACAGGATCTTCTTCAGAGACTGTGGTGAGCTTGTGCCTGTACGGACAATACGGACATTAGTAGTGTATGATGGACAGTTGACGTCAGAATTATTAGCCCTCCTGAATTATTAGCTCCCCTGTATATTTTTCCCCTATTGTCTGTTAAACGGAGAGAAAATTAACACATTTCTAAACATAATAGTTTTAATAACTCATTTGTAATAAATGATTTATTTTATCTTTGCCATGATGGCAGTAAATAATATTTTACAAGACACTATTATTCAACTTAAAGTGGCATTTAAAGGCTTAACTAGGGTAATTAGGCAAGTCATTGTATAACAAAGGTTTGTTGTGGAGACAATCAAAAAAGAAAATACTGCTTAAAGGGGCTTATAATATTGACCTTAAAATAGTTTTAAAAATTTAAAAACACTTTTATTCTAGCCGAAATAAAACAATTAAGACTTTCTCCAGAAGAAAAACATTATAGGAAATACTGTGTAAATCTCCTGCTCTATTAAACATTCTTTGGGAAATATTTGTAAAAGAACAGGAGGGCTAATAATTTTGAACTTCGACTGTAGATGCTGTTGTGTTTGAGCTACAAGAAGTGAGGTGTTTTACCAAATGGCGGTAAGTCTTTGACTGGCACTTTTTTGCGGGATGGGTAGAGGGCTACGGCAGGCACTTGAAGCGCCTGGTTGGCTTTTTGAAGCTGCTGGCGCTGGTGGGTCGCAGCCCGTGAGACTACGGGTGATGTGTCGGGTCTCTTTCTGTCCCCAGAACTCTTCGGCACTGAGTGGATGAGAGAAATACATGTTATTCAGCCAAAACATATTTTAATGACATCGAAAATGACAGTGAGACATTTATAATGCAACAAAATATTTATTTATTAAATGCTACTCTTTTGATGTTTTAAAATACTAGGCAGAACAGCTCATTTTATTTGGAATTTTAAGGTTCTATCTGCATTTTGTGCAGATACTCTGGGTTTTTGCATTAAATATATCAAAAATATATGAGGAACAAATCTCATTCATACATGGAAATTGTAAATGTACTATATTAAAAAAAATTCAAGTATGTAAATAGGATTTTTTTTGGAAAAGGTGCGCTGCAAAAATGCTTTTATTACTAAGAGTTGTCTTGTTTCTAGTTTAAATATCCTAAAATTCTTCAATCAAGAAGCATTTACTTCAAAAAAGGTCTTGTTTTTCAGAAATAATGTTAAAATGATATAAGTTTTTTAATAAAACAAGCTAAAAAAATCAGCCAATGGGGTATGCAAACTAACATTATTTTCACTTTGAAATAAATTATTTCACTCACCCCACTGGCAGATTATTTTGCATTTTTAAGAAAAAACCTGCTTGATTTTGACATTATTTCTTAAACCAAGACCTTTTTTGAAATTCTTTCTAAAAACAAGACACTATTTTTGCTTGTCTAGAAATTTTTTCTTGATCTATAGAGATTTTGACTTGAAGAAACTCACTTGCAGTGTAACTCACATTAGAGGTGCATTTGTAAATATTTGATGAAAGTCTGAGAACATGCTGGGTTTTTTTTCCACACAATATTTAATTACTGTTGGGTATCATGTAAACAGTTCAACATTGCAATTATAAGAATATGTATACTCATTAGTTTAGAAACCTTAGTTTCATTCCTCTGTTGAACACTAAGGAAGATGTTTTGCAGAATGCTGGCTGCTGGAACCCATCGACTTCCATAGGAGGAAAAACAAATTACTTTGGAAGTAAATGTGTACAAGCTACCAGAACCAGAACCATCCCTTTACCAATGCACTTAATTCTGCCATATACTTCATACTATATACTTCACCTTTAAAATAAAATTTTCTTTATTTTTTTTCTTTACTAAAAATATTTTCTTTAGTAAAAACGGTTGCAATAATGTATAAAGCAAGATTTTTCCTGGACAATAAATCAATGTATATATTATATAACACACTTATGTTGCCATATATGAGTTATTGTGTTGAAATTTGGGGGAATACATATTAATCTAATTTTCGATATGTGAGTACAATGCAGAAAAAAGTAATCAGACTGATAGAAGGTGTGGGGTATTTGGAGCATACAAATCCTTTATTTTTTAAATTAAAGATACTTAAATTCAATGATTTGGTTGAATTTAAAACAGCACAGTTTATATTTAAAGCTAGGAATAAATTACATCCAAAATGTATACAAAAGTTTTTTGAAGAAAGACAAGGGGGATATAACCTGAGAGAAGAACTACATTTTAGGAGGCTGAAAACAAGAATAACTTTAAAAAGTTTGTGTACAGTATGTCTGCCTGTGGTGTGAAATTATTGAACAGTCTAGATCAGACTCTCAAACAATGTCAGCATAATAATCAGTTTAAAAAGTTGTATATTATTTGTATATTATAAAGTTGTATATTAATAAAGGAATATAAGGATGAAGGTGATTGAAAAAGGATAAAATGAGAAAGGCATGATGAAACTTTAATTAATGGCTGTTTGCAATAATATGTTTTTTTTTCTTTGGGTCTGTGTTACAAAATGTAAAGGTACAGATGGATTCAAACATACAATATGTCAAACATGCCAAACAGATAAAATATGTCTCATGTAAAATAAGAGATGAGTAAAAGAAGAAATGAGTGTAAGTAATAGACGACTGCAGTATTTGGTAATGGGGTGGGAAAATAATAAGCTTGTGATTCATCCCACTCCATTTTCGACCATGTTGAAATGTATTTTTTGTTTATGATATTTTATGTATGATATTTTTGATCGAAAAATAAATAAATCAAAAAAAAAAAAAAAAAAACTAATCAAATTAGTAACTTTTTACAATTTTACTGTATTTTTGACCAAATAAGTGAGCCTTCAGAAACATATATATTTTTTATTTGTCCCAGTGACCAACATGATTTTTAAGACTGTTTATGTTTGTTTGTGTGTGTGTGTGTGTGTGTGTGTGTGTGTGCTTGTTTTTACATCCCGATGGGGACTTAAACCTGATTGCACGCAGACTCATAGGGACTAGTGTCACCATGGAGACCAAAATTGAGATCCCCATGAGTAAAAATTATTATAAAACATTATTTTATTATTTTATTTCATTATTATTATACAGACAGATCTGTAGTATTTTTGAACTGTATTTTGAAAATGTAAAAGTGCAGATTGTTTCCTGTGAGGGTTGGGTTTAGGGATAGTAGGAGAAAATATACAGATTACATAGTAAAAACATCATTACTTCAATAAGAGTATTCACCAGGATATAGGAATAAGTCTGTGTGTGTGTGTGTGTGCTCTACTCACAGGTGTTGATTGAGGGCTCACACTGCATTGAGAGCGTTTGCAGGCTCTCCTCGTTGGTCTCCAGGGTGAGGTTGGACAGGTATTGTTTGACTTTGCGTGCCATCTGTGCGTCCTCGTACAGCTTCTTGGCATTAAGGAAGGAACTCCTTCTGACCCGCTTCTTGTGCCCACCCGTCTGGGTCACATCCAGGACAGCCGCGTTGGCACTGCCCTGGCTGAGTGACCTAAACACACACACATACATGCAGAGCAGAGTTAAAGATACAGGCTGACTTTAATAGAGGTCAGCATTGCTGATGCAGTCTCTCACTGACATGCATTAATTTGCATTCCTTCAGAAACATTCCATGCATTTTCACATCTCAGGCAGGTAAATAAAAATGGGATGTTAAATAATCAAGAAAGTTCTTAAAGTGATGGTTCACCAAATTTTTTTTACACATTTACTGACTATTTACTAATCTTCAAGTGATTCCAAACCTTTAAAAGTTTTTTTCTTCTGTTGAATGCAAAAGAAGATATTTTGAAGAATGATGAAAACCATTGATGCCCATACTATAGAAGTTAATGGTTTCCAGCATTCTTCAAAATATCTTCTTTCGTGTTTAATTGCAAAAGTAACCCATGAAATTGAGTAATGAGTAGGACCAGATAAAATCTGCAGACATGTTTTGCTATTTCTACGCAGAATTGTTAAAAATCTGCACATTTATGCGGGATTATTTTGGGAGTATAACTAAAACATTAATAAAAAAAAAAAAAATGTAAAAAAAAAAAAAAAAAAAAAACAGTAATACCTTTTTAACTTTTATTTAATGTTTGCAATGCAAATCCAATTAGATCCACTTTATTTGGTAAACAAAGCAAGTCACTCGTATAAAATCTCTATTAAAAGATATACACACACACACACACACACACACACACACATATATATATATAAATATATATATATATATATAAATATATATATATATATATATATATATATATATATATATATATTAGGGATGTAACGGTATTGTAAATACCGTCATACCGCAATATAATTTTTTTTCGATATTACCGAAGTCGCATGACTCGGTAAAACTATAGGTCTTCTGAGAAAATTTGCTCAGGCGAATGAAGCGAACGGGAGGTAGCTGAAACTACATTTCCCATCAGCCGGGAAATTACGGCGTGGCCATAATCCTTTGCGGTCTGTTGTCGCTACAGATCCAGTAATGCGGAAATGGAGTGTGCTGCTAGTAGCGGAGTTGAAAATAAGATGGAAATGATCGAACCTAAAGCGGGTGTTGTCGCCGCGCGCGTACTGAATAGCAGTGTTGTCGCGCGCGTTCTGATCAGCTGTGTTGTCGCGCACGTATTGTAAAGCGCCGAGGGGGGGTTGAGCGCGCATCCTCAAGAGCGGTGTTGTCTACTGAAGGGCTGGACGGAGGGTGTGTCGCGTCGCGGGGGCACTTTTGATCGTTTTGGAAGGGCATTTTCTATCCAAGACTAAAAAGGGCATGTGCACTGCACAGGTTGAGCCCTATGTGTGCACTTGCCTGCAAGTTGGGGAATACGACTAATAGCAGTCATGGGGACTGCAGAAACACAGCACACTGTTCAGATTGATGCAGACATTGACTTGTACCGCAAAGAGACCTCTATCTCACTCATGGCTTGTCATCTCAAGTGGGGGAAAGACAAAGCACAACGCTACCCACTGCTGTCAACCTGGGCCAAGTCATATCTCTGTCCCAGAAACCTCAGTCCCAAATGAGAGGGTTTTTTTTCTGTTGCAGGGGACATTGTAAATACCCAGAGATACCAGCTTTTACCAGATTATAGTTATATGATAATTTTCCTTTAAACCCATCTCTATCTAAGTAAGTGAGTGAGTGATTAAATGTTGAATGTGATGAGTTTTCAACAATACTAAATTGAAACTTTATTTTTTTACATGGTTTAAAAAATTTTGTTATTAAAATTGAAGTTAGTGTTTCAAAGCTTACAGATAGATGACTAATTTGTATGTCATTGACACTTTTGGCACTTTTTTGGAGTATTTTCAAAAGTTTTGTTTTTCCTGTAAATGATTCAATAAATACCGTACCGTGACATTCATACCGAGGTATTACCGTACCGTGAAATTCTGATACCGTTACATCCCTAATATATATATATAAATATATATATATATATATATATATATATATATATATATATATATATATATATATATATGTTACAATAATATTACTGTTATTAATTTAAAAACTGAATAAATATAAATTTACACACATTTACACAAGTAAATTAACATTATCAATGATGGGCTAAAAACCAGCGAAAATCTGTGAGCACAGATTCCGTGTTGACCAAGTAATGAGTTAATTATGACGGAATTTCACTTTTGGTGAACTATCCCTTTAAACTTTACATGATATTTTCAGATTATTTAACTTTTTTTGGTCATATTTATCATTAAATTTGCCTTTTAATAGCATTTGTTTCATACTTTAAGGTAAAGTAGATTTTGTGATTAACTTTTTTGGTCATATTTATCATTGAGTTTGCATTTTAAAAGCATTTGTTTTATACCTAAATGTAAAATAGATGTTATTATTTACTTTATTTGGTCATATTCGTTTTTGAATTTGCCTTTTAAAAGCATTTGTTTCATATTCAAAGGTAGAGTGCTTCATTTCTTCAGCACTAGCATCAGTATTGTCTTTGTATATAGATCTGAGCTGCATTAACCGGGTGCTTTATTAGGTACACCTTACTAGTACCGGGTTGAACCACCTTTTGCATTCAGAACTGCCTTAATCATTCATGGCATAGATTTAACAAGGTACTGGAAATATTCCTCAGAGATTTTGCTCCATATTGACATGATAGCATCACACAGTTGCTGCAGATTTGTCACTGCACATACATCATGCGAATCTCCCGTTCCATCACATCCCAAAGGTGCTCTATTAGATTGAGCTCTGATGACTGTGGAGGCCATTTGAGTACAGTGAACTCCTCGTCACATTTAAGAAATCAGTCTTGAGATGATTTGCGCTTTATGACATGGCGCATTATCCTGCTGGATAGACATCAGAAGATGGGTACACTGGTCATAAAGGGATGGACATGGTCAGCAACAATACTCAAGTAGGCTATGGCATTGACATGATGATAAGTTGGTATAAATAGGCCCAAAGTGTGCCTCTTTTTCAGCCATTATCTGTAAACCCTAGAGATGGTTGTGTGTGAAAATCCCAGTAGATCAGCAGTTTCTGAAATACTCAGACCAGCCTGTCTGGCACCAACAACCATGCCACATTCAAAGTGACTTAAATCCCCTTTCTGCAGCAGATCGTCTTGACCATGTCTACATGCCTAAGTGCATTGAGTTGCTGCCATGTGATTGGCTGATTAAAAATTTGCGTTAACGAGCAGTTGGACAGGTGTACCTAATAAAGTGGCCAGTGAGTGCCAGTGAGAAAAACATTTACAGTAGAGGTTTACACTCTTCACCAAAATTTTAAACATAAGTATTAAACTAACAAAAAGTAAAATACCACACAAACACACAGTAAATGCTTAGTAGAAGGCGTGCAACTATGGTAAGTAGTTTAGCTGAAAGGGGCATGTTAAATCACTTTTGCTAAAGATGGATCATGGGATATCAGATTAATAAATGAACTAGAACCAAACTGTAAAACAACAACAAAAAACGTCATGCATCATGTTTGTGAAACATTAAAAAAATACAAATCAATAGTAATAAAAGGACAGCAACATTAGGATGTGTTTTAGAATGATGTGAGTTCATTCAATGACCCTGACTAGCAAAAGTGATGGAGGTCAAACGGTCAGACGGGGATCCAATGCATTCTCAAATCAACCAGAAAATGAAAAATAATAGTAATAAAGCATGGTGAGGAGCCAGGCCAAATTAAAAGAGGGCGCGCACACACATGAGGCTAAAGGTCAGAGTTCACCATACTCACCCTAAACTCCTCCATTTCTTCTTCCTGTAAAGGAGAGCCATGAATAGTGAAGCGTGGGGCAGAGAGGGTGGACAAAGAGAGAAATGGAGGAGAGAGAAAGCCAATGAGAAAAAGAGAAGGAGACACACTTAGATGAGGAGAAACGAGACCAAGGGTACCACGGTGAGACGCACCACAGACCAAAAGAGAGACTATAGGGCTGGGCCATATGACAAAAATATCATCTCACGATATAAGTCATCTCATATCCTTATATCAATATATATCATGATAAAGTACTATTATTGTCAAATCAATCAGTTAATATTGTACATACAGAGCTCAGCATTAATGAGTAAAACCCCTGTGGATTAGGGCTGCACGATATTGGAAAAATCTGACATTGCGATATTTTGGTTTGCCGTGATATATTTTGCAATAAAAATAACATTTCTGGAGAGGATTTGATTAGCTCTATTTGGAAAGTTTCCATTAATTTGGACCGACTGGGAAGATCAAGCCTTTTTCTAGGCAGAGCTTCTGCTTAAATTATAATAAATTACAAGCACAAATAAATAAATAAACAGTGCTTTATGGTTTTCTGGGGAGCCTGACAGTACTTAAGTACAGAAATTGAACAATCAAATGTAAAATAACATGGTCATTATTGTATAATAATAATAAAAAAAAATCTAATCTAATCCTGCAATGTGACTACTGCAGATACAAACATTGTGATATTGATGCTTAAATGATTCATTGTTCAGCCCTACTATGGATATTAGAAATTTTATTAATTTCTCAGTTAATATGGCCAATAGTTTAAACAGTTATATCCATTAAGGTAAGAGTTTAGTCAGATTATGCATTGAAATTTAAACCAGATATATCAAAAAATAAAAAATAAATAAATAAAAATAAATAACATGCTACAAATTTTAAATGATTTCAATATGTTTTTTGTTTCTCTTGATTTTTCCTGTTTATTAAAAAATATCTAATATTTTTCCCAAACACATTCATTTGGGAATACTTATTTTTTCCACTGTGATTTTATTTATTCATTTATTTGTTAGATTATTTTCAGTTTTGTCTTTGGTACTGACTAATCTAATGTATATGCACATATGTACAATGAGCATGCCTAACTGAGCCTGTTTTTTTTTTCCTTCACTTTGTCAATTGAAGTTTTATTTCTCGCCACTGTCGCCATTGGCTTGCTCAGATCAGGACTTCTGGAGCTGTGCTTCGGTGGATTTGCTCTTCAGTGTTTGGACTTTCAGCAGTGAAAACTAAACCACACTGAACTGAACTAAAGTTCAAATCTGAAAACTGGACTTTACTAGAACTACAGTTGAAGTCAGAATTATTTGTTTCCCCAATTTCTGTTTTATGGAGGGAAGATTGTTTCAACACATTTCTAAACATCTGATTTATTTTATCTTTGCCATGATGACAGTAAATGATATTTTACTTGATATTCTTCAAGACACTTCTGTACAGCTTAAAGTGACATTTAAAAGCTTAACTAGGGTAATAAGGTGAACTACGCAGGTTAGGGTAATTAGGCAAGTTATTCTATAACAATGGTTTGTTCTGTAGACTATCAAAAAAAAAAAAAAAAATAGCTTAAAGGGGCTAATAATTTTGTCCAAAAAATATTAGTAATAAAAAATAATAAAATATTTTAAAAATTCAAAACTGCTTTTATTCTAGCCGAAATAAAACAAATAAGACGAGAGATATAAGAGAAGAAAAAATATTATCAGACATACTGTGAAAATTTCCTTGCTCTGTCAAACATCATTTGGGAAATATTTAAAAAAGAAAAAAAACTTTTGGGCCATTTTTGACTGAAATTTTTCTGTGGCCAAATATTCGGTGCATCTCTAATGATGAGCACTAGGTTAACCACAGGTAAAAGACTATTTCTTTGTTACATTTTTAAGGTAAAGGCAAGTTTATTTATATAGCACATTTCAAACACAATGTTAATTAAAAATGCTTTACTGTGCATGAACTAGAATAAATAAAACAAAACAAAAAAAAATTATTGAAATAATTGAAAACTGATTAAAAATGTGCTAAAGCAGGTTTAAAAGAAAAAAATAGAAAAAGAAAGAAAACAAATAGTGTAATCTGTCATAGCGCAGTGCTCATTTATTTCATTCAAAGAATATAATCAGAAATTTACTCATTCCTTTGCCATCATATTTCTCACATTATCTACTTTAACTTCCAGGCAAATGTTTAAATAAAAAAAATAAATAAATAAAAAAAAAAAGTATTAACTAAACTAATGATTACAGGTCAAACATAAAAATACAAAGAAATAATATAAAGAAATATTATAATAATACAAATATAATCAAATATCATATATTTAAATAGAATAATATAAAATACAAAACCTAAACATTATACTTCAATTCCTCACAATGCTGCTATTCCTCTTTCTGTCCTCTGTAATGGCGTGTAATATTATGCTCATATAAATTATGAAAAAGTATTATGGTTTGTGGCACAATGATATAAATGACAGCATAATATGAAATGACTTATTGTGTCCACACCATATATATTGTCTTATTGCACAGCCCTAGGAGAGACAATAACTTCTCTGACAATAATGCAGACGGAGAGTAACACACACACACACACAGAATGGTTTAACTGGTCTCATATACTGTACACAAACATCACAGAAACACTTCAACAAAGCCAAAAAACCTTCTGAAAAAGCCTGTGTGTGGAAGCGTGAGGTGAGAGCTGTTCATATCACAGTGAGTGGACATTAAAATCTACTCAATAGTGTAAAGAATCCAGCCTGAAAGAGGAAAAATGTGTGATTGTGAAGTCAGATCAAGAAGGGACTCACCTGGTTCTGAACATCAGTGCAGGGTCCATGTTTACGGCTGCCATTCTGCCCACGTGTCGGATCTCTTTAGCGATCATCCGCAGCTTCTCAAAGTTCACCAAACCGTCCACTTTGGAGTCATTCCCTGGAGTGGTGCAAATACATAATTCCTTCAGATTAAGTTTGTGACAAAACGGTTATATCATTTTTTACTTACAAAACTGACATATGTGCTCTTAAAGGGACTGTTCATGCAAATATTTCAATTCTGTGATCATTTACTCGCCCTTCACGTGTTTCTTTTATTTCTTGAACATGAGGAAAGTATTTTGAAAAGTACTGGTAGCTTTTTTGAAAGGCTTTTGAAAGGCTATTGGTGCCAGCAACCAACATTCTTTAAAATATCTCCTTTTGTGTTCAACTGAAAAAATAAAAACCTAAAAAATTAAAGACCACATGAGGGAGAATAAATAATTAAAGTGAGGTCATTTTCATTTTTGAATGAATTATCCCTTTAAGACATGCCTTATTAAATGTGACTGGACAGCTGCTTGGTAAATCTTATAATTTTTTTAAATAAAAAAATAGATCAAACAAAATTAAATAAAAATAATTAATTAGTTAAATGATGAAAAATTAAAAATTAAATCCTAGTTAAAAATAAATTTGAAATCTTGCACTAAATGAATGGCAAAACAAAATTAAATTAAATTAAATTAAATTAAATTAAATTAAAAATCCTAGTTAGAAATAAATTTGAAAAGACGCTTGGTAAATCTTGCACAAAATGTTTGGCAAAAAATAAAAAATAAATAAATAAATATGATATAAAATTAAATAAAATAAAAAAACAAAAAATAAAATCCTAGTTAGAAAAAATTTGAAAGGATGCTTGGTAAATCTTGCACTAAATGTATGGCAATAAAAAATGAAATAAAAAAATAAAATAAAATAGTTAGAAAAATGTATGGTAATAAGAAATAAAATAAAATAAAATAAAATGTAATTAAATTTAAAAATAAATTAAATTAATAATAAAATCCTAGTTAGAAATAAATTTGAAGGGATGCTTGGTAAATCTTGCACTACACGTATGGAAATAAAAAATATAACAAAATTAAATTAAATTAAATTAAAAAATAATTTAAATTAAATTAAAAATAAAATCCTAGTTAATAATAAATTTGAAAGGATGGCTGGTAAATCTTGCACTAAACGTATGGCGATAAAATGTTAAATTAAATTAAATTAAATTAAATTAAATTAAATTAAATTAAATTAAATTTAATTAAATTTAATCAAATTTAATTTAAAAATAAAAAAATGTAAATCCTAATTGGAAATAAGTCTGAAAGACTGCTTGGTAAATCTTGGCAAAACAAAATAAAATAGTTAGAAAAAAATTGGAAAAGCTATGCAGAGGCAGGCCAGGAATGAGTTAAGCAATACTCACAAATTATAACAGGTGTTTGTGTGTTTATCTAACCGATATCTTGCCAAATATCTAAAATGGCAATTAAAACAAGATAAATACACCTTACAAGGCCACTTTGAGGTGAGAACATTCAGACCACCATTATAAAGAGTAGTTCTAAACCAAAGCAGTCAAAACAAGCCACTTAAAAGATTCCATCAGATTGCATGCTTTTCTTTCCCATGATTCTTTATACATGTGATGCCAGATGAGTCGGTGCATTCCAGCTATTTTTTTTTGGTCTCCTACACATACCTCTCACTACAGAGATTGAACCCTTTAAAGGGATTAGGGCATGAGAAGGGAATGGAATCAATAGGTCATATTTCTGGCTTACACTCAATCAAATGACTTTTTAGACTGGGGAGGAGGTTTTGAGAAGGCCATCAAGCTTGTACGATCCATTTATTACTGCCAATAAATCCTTAAACTAAGCTCTGTTCAATAACAAAACAGCAAAGGTAGTATATATGTCAGCGCATACAAGCAGGATGTATTGGTATCACCTGATAAACACTTATTTTATTGTTATATCGGCCCGCTACAATAAAACAAATATATTGACCAATAAATTACGGATTATTTTCTCTGATTGGTCCATGCAGAAGATGCATAATTTGAAGAGTTTATGCTAGAGAGAAGATGTTGGGAGTGTGGGAGTTTCTCACTGTGAAAAAGAAAAACTGGACTGCAAAATATAAATGATTTTGTGAACATTTAATATTTAATTAACCAGTTTTATTAGATTTCTTTAATATTGAATTAGATTTTTTTCCTTGTTTTTGCACTTAAGATTTTAAAATAAACCAATTAGCTGAGTGTATATGAAAATTTATACCAAGGTTTGCATTTATCAGCCCGTGTATTTGATTTTCGGCTTCCAAATAAAGTTATCAGGCCAAAATTTCATATCGATGCATCCCTAAAAACTGCCTTACCTTCATGCAGGAAAGTGAGATCCTTCTTGATTACGGGGAAGAGTGGGATGATAGGGGGCTGCAGGTTCTGGCTGTTTAGAAGGTTGCGATACTTGGCCATATTCCTGGAGGGATCGAAGAGGTCTTGAAGATCGCTAAACAGCTTCTCGTATTTGCTGGGCAGCTTCTCCCATGTGCCTCTCAGCCTGGACACTGGTGCCAAGTTCAGACCACTGGAAAACACAAAGTTATAAGCTTCTCAAAATTTTAACCCAAAATTATGGCTTCAAAATGTCTTGTTGAAAATAATTGTTGAAGTTTTTTTTTTTCATGGCATATGGTGCTATCATGAGACCCACTTTATATTAAGTGTCCTTAACTACTATGTACTTACATCAAAAAAATAAATACAATGTACTTACTGTGTTTATAATGTATTTGAGAACACGTAGTGCGTTTGAGTTGGGATAGAGGTTGGGTTATGGACAGGTTTGGTGGTATGGGTAGGTTTAAGGGTGGGTTAAGGTGTAAGGGATGGTCAACAGTGTATTTACAAATGTAATTACAGAAGTTAATTACAGATGTAATTACATACATGTATTTAATCAAGCATAATTACTCAGTAAATACATGTATTTACACAATAAGTTCATTGTAACAAGCTATTAACTCCTGTGTAAGTACATATTAGTTAAGGCCACTTAATATAAAGTGGGACCCTATCATGATACTGTTCCTAAATGGCTAAAAAGGTTACTTTAACTGGTATAATAACAAAAAATAATTAAACAAATATTCAAATTGCAAAAGGATTATTAAGTTCAACATCACCAGGCCTGCCCTGATATCTATTTTCTGCTGTACGATATATTCCAGCCAAATATATTGCGATTAATGATATTATTGTCATTTTAAGACCATTTATTGCCCCTTGTTATATAATGCCAGAATAACAATATAACAGCATCACAATGCAAGTACATTCTTCCAAAGAGCACATCATGTTTTATTCTTAGGAATGTTTCATTTAATTGTAGTCATTTAACAATTTAATTATGAGGCACTGGAATCAGAATGTGAATATGCATATTCTAAATAAATAACATTAACAATAAATGTTAACAAAAAAGTGCAAGGTAAAGAGTAACAGAGGCTGCAATATCTGCTACCAGATCTATTTTCAGTTGTCAGACGCCCACATCAAAATACACTATAGTCATTTATAGTAAATACTACCATGTTTTAACCATACTGACACTGACACCTCCAATAGAGATTGAGATGTTGCAGAATCTGCTAGAATTGTTTTTATGTATGGGCGATATATATTGCATCACCATAAATGATTGAGGTCATGTCCATGTGTTGTGTGATGATAAGTCCATATATTGATTATTGTGACAGGTCTAAATATCACTTCACAAAAAAGTCTAATTAGCAAATGTTAATTAAAGGATTAAAATTAACATTGAGAAAAAGCAGATTACAGCTACTTTGTTAATATTAGTTGAAAACTCATTTAATAAATCGATTATGACTGATATTTAATGTGTTATTAGTAATTAACATTGCCTAAGATTAATACAAACTCTTGCAGCATTCATTGTGAGTTTAGTTAAATATTTGAGTCTTATTGCACAGTGTTCACGTACAAAGGCCTGATAAAGGCCAGAATTTTGCATCAATATTTCAGCATGTAGAAGCCCATAAAATGTGAAAATGTTCATGTTTAAACTATTAAGCTACTGTAAATGCTTCTCTAAGAAATAAGTTTTCAAGCATTTATAATACAACTGAAAAAAATATTCTTAAAAGGTACTCTAAAAGATTAAATAATAAATATGGTCACACTTTACAATACGGTTCATTAGTTAATGTTAAGTAATGCATTTACTAACATGAACAAACAATGAACAATACATTTACTACAGTATTTATTCATGTTGATAAACGTTAGTTAATGAAAATACAGTTGTTCATTGTTAGTTCATGTTAACTCATATTGCATTAACTAATGTTAACAAGCATGGACTTAAATCTTAATAATGCATTAGTAAATGTTCAATTATGATTAATAAATGCTGTACAAGTGTTGTTCTTAATTACTTCATGTTAGTAAATGCATTAACTAATGAACCTTATTGTAAAGTGTTGCCATAAATATTTATTCACAGTATTTAGAAGTGTCTACGATATAAATATTTTGCATGATTAATATCATGATATACTGAATTACTAATTATCGACATATGCAGGTTGCGATCGGGTTGGGGTCAAGTTTTCCGGTTATGTACGGTAATATGCCTCAATGAACCAAAGTTACGTATTTAATTCAATTACAACTAATTTATCGATTAAACTTTTGCTTTTGTTTTAAGGAATATGGAGTGGTTCTCAATGACATTTGTGAAATTTAAAACAAAACAAAAACAGTGAGCCGTAAAAAAAAAAAAAAAAATACAATTTTTTATTTTACTGTTTAACTTTCATGTGCGAGCAAGTGTATCATAAAATACAAACCATGCATCTAGTTTTATAGACACATGTTTAATGAACACACTGTCTGTTGAGGTTCTAGATTTCCCTGTTTCAAACCTGCTACATTAATATTTTTGGCGCAAACTTGCATTCACAATGGTATGAACCATTATAGGGGTGGTCAAATGTCTATTTACGTTATCTATTATTTTTAGCAGTAATTTTGTTTAAGATACATATTAGATCAAACAATTTCTTAACTATTAAGGAGAAGAGGAAGGGGAAGGGGAAGACCCACACACACATATCTTGTTTTGATGTTCTTCAGGGGGAATCAAGCGTTAATTAAGGATTAAGGGAGTCAGACCACCCCAAACCCCCATGTAATTTGTATCATGGACATATGTCTACTTTAAAGAAGATCTTATTTTGTCCCTTTTAACAAGACTTAAAATAAGTCTCTCATGTCCCTAGTGTGTGTAAAGTTTCAGCTTAAAATGCCACCAAAATAATGTTTTATAACTCTTTGAAACTGCCCCTTTTAGGTTCTGATCCAAATTGTGCCATCTTGGCGACTGTTGCTTTAAATTCAAATAAAATTGTGCTCCCAGCCCTTTTTTCTAAATGGGGTGGAGCTTCAAGTGTCTATGTGTCAGCATAGCAGCAGATTCAAAAACAAGACTAACTGCTCAAATGACTGACGGCTGCTTCTCACTCAGGGCTGTATATGCTAATTAGGGAGAGATTGTCATTATGGAGTGGAACCTCCCCGTTCAATGACATGTGCAAAGAGAGAATGTCAATCAAAGTGTTTCAGCAGACTTTTTTTTGTAGTGTGATTATTAAAAAATAATATTAATTATTCATTTTAACCATTAGAGACTAGTAATATTCACACACTGTAGCCACACAACTGTGTTTAAACCCCTTATAAAAGTGCTTTTTGCATAATAGCTCCCCTTTAAATTAAGACTCATGCTACCTGATGATGGCAAACATGGAGTTGAAGTTCTTGCATTCGCGGCAGTGCAGTGCAATCTTAATGAAGTGCTTGACAATCTTCATGCGTTTGAGCTGGTTGGCCTCTCGCACCACCTCTGTGGCCACCCAGAAAGTCTCCCGATTGATGGCCTCCTCAAAAAGCTTGAGGCTGGGGGGTCCGGTGAGGCGAGTTTTCAGCTTAAACAGGTCATCGATGTACTCGGTGGGCTCGATGGCACAGAACAGCTCAAAGGCGCGCATGGAGAGTTGGGTTGCCACTTCCACCGTGCTGAGCTGCAGCAGGCTGATATGGCTCTCTCGTAGCAACTCCTGCGCATCTTCATCCGAGCACAGTGTCTCTGTCTCCATGTTGCTTTTCAGGTAGTACCTATGCAGAGAAGAGAGGTCAATGAGTGGGATTTGATCCCAAAGCCAAAACTCTACAGAATAACCAAAGTAAGCAGACTCTAAAGTCAGCACCTTCCACTCAGCTGGATCCTGTCAGCCAGTTTGGAGAGTTGTTCAGGGAGTCTCCTTTGCTTGATGACTCCTTCGGGAGTGACTGACACCTCACACAACGAATAGGCTTCGGCAGCAGCGGTGAGGGCGAACTCTCGGATGGCCTGAGCCACCACTTCTTTTGCCGTGGTGTCCTTCCCAATCATGATGTACCGACTTTGCTGGTCCGCCTTGAACACTCGCAATACCTGGTCTGACATGTCTAAAGAACATAGGAATGACTTAGGCCCATTCAACAATTAACACCCAAGACACCTTTATCAGAATGTAGAAAGACTTACAGTATGTGTTCCCCGTGATCATTGTGTATTGCATATCAATGTATGTCGCTTTCACACTTAGAGCTCTATTTTGACGGTCCATGTGCAGAGCGCAAAACGCAGGGCGCAAACGCTTTCAGGGCGTGATATTGTATATTATTGTTATTAATATTATTTGTATTTCCAAAATTTCTTTAAATGAGATGTTAAACCGAGGTCCCGACTCTCAGTGGTTGTTAAAAATCCCAGGATGTCCTTAAAAAAAAGTAGGATTTAACACCGGCATCCTGGCCAAATCTGTTCACTGGCCTATCATCTGTTCATGTCTATCATGGCTTCCTAACATCCCCATACCATGATTAGCTTCATCACTCTTGATTCTCCTCTCCACCAATCAGCTGGTGTATGAAGTGAAGTCTGGCACAATATGGCTGCCGTCGCGTCATTCAGGTGGATGCTGCACACTTGGGGGGGTTGAGGACATTCCCCCAAAAATGCGCTTTGAGTATCTAGAAAAGCACTATATAAATGTAAGGAATTATTATTAATATTTAAATGTACGACTTGACCATTAGAAAAGTGCGTTCTATACAGTATGAATGTGAGCAGTATAAATTGAACTCGGACCTACTACATCTGCCATTTTGTCATCACAACGTGACCTACCCGTGTGAGTTACATTGCTTCACTCCCATTTATGAATTATCTTGCAAAGCATTATGGGATAGAGTAGTGTTCATCCGATGCGCACTGAAGAAACTACCCAGAAGTAGTAGGTCAACTGGGTACTTCTCGCATACTGTTTTTTTTTAATTCTATGAATTCGGACATACTACTCGACTCGCATACTGTTTTTAGCGCACTATAGTATGGAAGTGTGCGATTTCGAACACTGCAAAGGAGAATAAAGAAGAATGAAATTGTCAAAGGACCCTAATTCATTCACATCAGACGCGGAAGAAGCGTCAAGCATGAGGGATTTACATGTTAAGTCAATGCAAAGATAAAAATAGACATCCTGCGGCGCGACACCCGTGAATGAGGCTGCACGAATTACGCGATTCACGCGAATAAGGCGGCGCGAGTTGATCGTTTTGCAAGATTAACGCGATTAACACTGTTTTGTGTTAATGACTCGAGTTAGAAAATCTAAACCTGAGCGAAAATAAACAATGAGGAGCTTTCTCTTGTAGGGGCGTGATTATGACGCATCACCTGTAGTCCTGGGGGTAAATACTCCTGCCGACACCGGCAAACAGTTCATCAAACTTGGCTCGGCTGAGTCTGAAGCACTGCTGAAAGCCTGCATCTTCCAGGTATAGTTTCTGGAGGAGTTGATGAACTCACAGAGCTGGGTGCACCTCAGAATGGCTCTAGCAGATTCAGGCACAGCTCCAAACGAATCGACGCTGTTTATCAGTCTTCATAATGCGCATAAACACAGCTACTCTCTCAATAAAATACATGTTAGTCCTTTGGCAACGAAGCTATAATCACCGGGCAGACAAAAGCCCTGCTCATGATGCGAATCTGCGTCTATTGTGAAGTGAAATTGACAAGTGAGTGAAGCGAGTAAACTTAAAATGTTCACGCATCTATTATGTGCCAATATCGCGATTTACACGCACAGACCGCATCTGGTATGAAAGCAGCATAAGTACGGAAGTAGGAGTTGGGTCACTAGAGTGAGAGTTGTCGTATGTGTCAGACCCCTCAAACACAAATCAATATTCAAGGTCAACCAACCCTAAATCTACAATAAACCCTTCAGTGTGAAAGCGACATGATTTAGTAAACAAGAATCAATTAGCTTAGGACTTCTCCCATCAAATGCACCAAGTGTTCACAGATTAGGACCTGATTGAGCCCCACCAAAGCTGTGCTACATGAAGCACTTTAAATGGCAAAATCAATGTCAGAATTTAGCAGACAAGTGACCCAAAGAAGATCGTGATCAGAAAAATGAAAGTAGTGGAGGAACATTTGAGATCAAATACTTACTTATAGGGACCGCTTCTGAAAGAGGACATTCAGGACAGCATGAGCGTCTTATAAAATATGCATGTACTGTGATTAAACTTCTGTGAAAGATTCTGTAGATGCCCTGAAGTCAAGTGCATAATACCAATGTATTTAAAGTACCCTCGTAAAGATCTTAACTATCATTATTTACCGATTCAAAGTCTGTACTCTCTTAAGCAGGATGTTGGAAAAATACCTGGATCAAAAGATTATTGATTAAACCTTATTCCTAGGGTAATGAGAGGTTGATAGGAAAGTAGTTCACCCCTAAACCCAACCAACCCCTTACTTCTGTTTCTTAATAAGAATGTTGTTCAGAAATCAGCAAGGCTTTTAAAACAGCACAATGTCTTGGTTAAATGCCATCATCTTACCAGGCTGGTTGTTGAAGTCGAGTATGCGATGGTGTGACTGCAGCAGGTCAGGGTTGCTTGATGAAAGGTTTCCACTGACAGGGAGAGCAGGAGGAATCTGCTTTGACTGCTTCAGGCCCACAATACTGTCATCCTGGGACTGTCCCACCCCAACGTCACTGTAAACAAACCATAAGAGTTATATCCTCCTTATTTTGCGACGATGGAAATGATTGCTTTTTTGTGGTAAGACTTCTAATTTATTTGCTACTACAGGATTAACAAATAACAGTCAAACTACTTGCACTACAATCCAGTGTTCATGACCGTACATTAAACCTACATGGTGAGACAACACCCCTTTGTGTGCCTAAAAATCTTTGCAAGTGAATAAGAGCCTTGAATGGAAGTCTTGATACATTTAAAGGCGCAGTATGTACTTTTCACCACTAGGGGGCGAATGTTTACAACAAACAAAGGCACATTTTTATATATTTATACACAATATATTAAAGTCCGCATGAAACTGGGACCACTTTTTATTCATAATGTGAAGCAGTTCCTAGAGAAACAAAATATAAAATTAGAAAAAAAGTGGGCGTGGCTTGTTTTTTATACTGTGAGCTGATTGGATGTAGTAAAGTAGGCATTTTATTAAGAAAGATGAGGAAAAAGGTTTGGGGAGAGATATTACAACCTAACAGACTCCTACTACTCACCATTTCTGTTTGGTGTCAAAACTGACAGTTGGAGGGGTGTGGTTTAATATGTTAGCCACGCCCCATAACTGTGATTATTTATAGGGCATTTAAGTTACAATGGCCAGATCTTGCGTGAAAAATAAAGTGAATACAGCAGTGGACAAAAGTCACTGGTAAAACCTTCGTATATTAAGCTCATCTTACTTGTAAGGTTTGGGTGGAAGAATACTGGTCAGTGTCTTGTCGAAGATCTTCTTCAGCTTGTTTCTTCCGCCTGCGCTGTTAGCCTTGGCTTTCTTACTGGCTTTCTCCAGATCCATGACCTGCTCCACGTCCACAGCCAGGTCAGGGATGGAGTAGCGGCTGGCTTTCTTAATGTCCCCGATTTTAGGGATGTGCGGAGCCCCGTTTTTCCGGTCGGGCTCCTCTTCTTGTTCTTGCTCCTGATCCTGGTCAGGCCTGGCCAGCAGCTCCTTAAACACTGAGGGGAAAGAGCCCGGCATAAAGATAAAGAGTGTAAAAATCCCAAAACAAAAATCAGCTGCATTATCCAATACTGCAAGAGGAAAAAGAGCTGAGTGGGAAATTTCAGATAAACTACTGCGCTGAGACTAAATGACAGTCTGTGGTCATTTCAGCTAGTGTAGCTCACCCAAGAGATTGGTTTTCACAGTAATGGACAGGTGCGTGTTGTTTTTGAGAATCTCGTTGGCTTTGGATAGCGGCACATTTTCAAAGTTTTGCCCATTTACCTCCAGTATCTGTGGACAGAAAAAAAAATTGCTAAATCAGCACTGCAGCTCAGCCAGTTGATCAAATCCATAAAACATGTTCTGTTTCAGTACACTTTCAGTTCATGGCACTGCAGGCTACTTAAAAGAGGTCATGAACTGCAGTTTTTTAATATTACTCTAAGCATTGACTACTTTTCAATCTTTCTTTTTCAAATCCAGTGTTGAATTGTGGCTTGTTTGTAAACAAATCCACTGGAAATGCTCTGAAACGTAGATGATTTTCTTATAGTACAATGACCTCTTGTGTATCAAAGGATCAAGGTAAGTTTCTTAGTTCATGACCACTTTAATGCAATTATTTCCGTGAGGTGAAGTATAGAGAGTCAAGTCTTTCACTGTGTTGCTTATTCTATTAATAAAAGAATGATGATCTTAATAAAAAACCTGCTTTGTCTGTAATTTATTCATTCATTACAAGCAAACTGACTCCAATGAAACACGCACTTTGGTCATAGGCGTAATGTATTTTATACAATAAAAACTGCTAATTATATGGCCCTACGATAAAAACCAACCAAAACAGGAAACATGTGGCAAAATTTAAATGTCAAAAGTAGGGATGTAACGGTATTGTAAATACCGTCATACCGCAATATTAAATTTTTTCGATATTACCGAAGTCGCATAACTCGGTAAAACTATAGGTCTTCTGAGAAAATTTGCTCAGGCGAATGAAGCGAACGGGAGGTAGCTAAAACTTCATTTCCCATCAGCCCCGGCGTGGCCATAATCCTTTGCGGTCTGTTGTCGCTACAGATCCAGTAATGCGTAAATGGAGTGTGCTGCTAGTAGCGGAGATGAAAAAAAGATGGAAATGATCGAACCTAAAGCAGTGTTGTCGCCGCGCGCGTGCTGAATAGCGGTGCTGTCGCGCGCGTTCTGATCAGCTGTGTTGTGGCGCGCGTATTGTAAAGCGCCGAGGGGGGGTTGAGCGCGCATACTCAAGAGAGGTGTTATCGCGCGCCTACTGAAGGGCTGGACTGGACGGAGGTTGTGTCGCGTCGCGGGGGCACTTTTGATCGTTTTGGAAGGGCATTTTCTATCCAAGACTAAAAAGGGCATGTGCACTGCACAGGTTGAGCCCTATGTGTGCACGTGCCTGCAAGTTGGGGAATACGACTAATAACAGTCATGGGGACTGCAGAAACACAGCACACTGTTCAGATTGATGCAGACATTGACTTGTACCGCAAAGAGATCTCTATCTCACTCATGGTTTGTCCTCTCAAGTGGGGGAAAGACAATGCACAACGTTACCCCACTGCTGTCAACATGGACCAAGTCATATCTCTCTTGTCCCAGAATCCTCAGTCCCAAACGAGAGGGGTTTTTTCTGTTGCAGGGGACATTGTAAATACCCAGAGATACCAGCTTTTACCAGATTATAGTTATATGATAATTTTCCTTTAAACCCATCTCTATCTAAGTGAGTGATTAAATGTTAAATGTGATGAGTTTTTAACAATACTAAATTGAAACTTTATTTTTTTACATGGTTTAATAATTTTTTGTTATTAAAATTGAAGTTCCTGTTTCAAAGCTTACAGATAGATGGCTAATTTGTATGTCATTGACACTTTTGGCACTTTTTTGGAGTATTTTCAAAAGTTTTTTTTTTTCCTGTAAATGATTCAATAAATACCGTACCGTGACATTCATACCGAGGTATTACCGTACCGTGAAATTCTGATACCGTTACATCCCTAGTCAAAAGACATCAAGTATGATTTTACAATACACACAAGCATTGTCAAAATAATGTTACTTAATATGCAACAGAAGCATTTTGAATTACAAGGACATCAGGCGTGACCCTGTAAACCACCATAATAGAGTACAACTAAGTTATACCCAGGTCATATACAAAAAAAAAACTGTCTTTGTAAACCACCAATACCAGTAAACACACACACACAGGTTATAGCATTAGCAAGTTAGCAACCAAATACAGTGGTCCCTCGTTAATCGCAGGAGTTGCGTTCTAAAAATAACATCAATAGGTAAAAACCGTGAAGTAGTCATTTATTTTTTTATGTGTGTTTTATGCGTGTTAATCCTGTCAAACACGCAAAATGCTCAACCATGGACCACTGTAATACAGTATGTTTTTTCCTCCATCAATATCGACTACTTACTAGAGAGCATCGCAGATTTTTTGTCAAATGTGAGCCTCCACATGATTATAAAATGGTTTGTGTGTCTGGCAATACACAAAAAATCCGCTATATAAATTTAAATTACTTACAAATGATGCTTTTTAAAAACACTATAAACAAACCAAAACAGCAATGAGGAGAGTGTGATGCAGAATCTCCTTTTCCCGCTCTTTTTCATGCACACTGGTTAATTTGGTCACAGAGATAGTAGTTTTCATAAAATGTTGACCATTGGTTCTAATTTAAAGCCTCTTGTCGTATGATTATATATTTTTAGTGTGTTCCACTTTGACCTACAGCACAAAATAGGTTAAACAAAAATAATTACAATTATTTATTCAACCTCAAAAGATTAAAGATGTTGAAAACTCCTTCTGCTGTTAGCTTAACTACAGTTAATTGACTAAATGAACATGATTATCAATATCAAAATTCATTCATTTATTCATTTTCCTACAGCAAAGTCTCTATTTCAGAGGTCGCCACAGCGGAAGGGCAGAAAGAAACAGTGTGACACGCTCTATTCACCCAAAAATCACATTTTCTGCTTGTGTGAAGATGCACGCCAGACATATTTAGACAACAGAGCAAGTTTAGAGGCTCAGATTTGTGTGTTTTTACATTTGAACGACAGACTGAATGAAAATAAAAAATCCTAGGATGAGTTTTTTGCTCCTCTTCTTGATGATTTAGGGCAGCGCTGTGACAAACTCGCTTTCACCGCTTGACAACGGCAATTACCGATGCTCTCACACAACATTTCCCACTTGCAGCCGCATAGCTACTATTAGCACTGCAAACGCTACAGCAAGGTGCTATTACGGTGTCAATGTAACAGCTATGGCTATTTGTGTGTGTGTGTGTGTATGTGTGTGTGTATGTGTGTTTGTGCATTTTTGTTCATGTGTGTGACTGTTTCTGAGTGTTTATTTGCATACATTTATGCTTATGTTTGCATGCATGTTTGTGTGCGTGCAGGCATGTTTGCATGTGTGCGAGTGTGTGCAAGCATGTTTGTTCGTGTGTGTGTTTGTGTGTGTGGATCTTTGTGCATGTGTGTGTACATGTTTGTGTGCGTTTGGTGATTGTGTGCACGCATGCATGTTTGTGCATGTGTGTGTGGGTGTGAGAGAGAGGGCTCTATTTTGACGGTCCATGCGCAGAGCGCAAAACGCAGGGCGCAAACGCTTTCAGGGCGTGTCAGAACGCATTTTTGCTAATTTAAGGACGGGAAAATCTGCTTTGCGCCATGGCACATGGTCTAAAAGGGTTGAGTTTATTTTCTTAATGAGTTATAGGTGTGTTTTGAGAATAAACCAATTAGAGTCTCATCTCACATTCCCTTTAAGAGTCAGCTGCGTCGCGCCAAGAGCGCATATTTACAGGACGCAAAGTAAGTCTAAGTGGAAAAAATGAGCATTTCACAAGCAAACAGTTAACAGTTTTTTTTAACAGAAAACAGTTAAACAGAGCATCTACTGCGTGAGAATGAAAGATAATGGAACTACTTTCACATTCGCTCTTGGATAGGGAAACCTTTAAGCACAGACATCAATTAGTCTATAAATAATTAATTGCGTTTGTTAAGCGCAAATATTCGTTTCAAAACTATTTCTAAATTCAGTTCTAATTTCCAGCAAACGAATAAGTGAACAATAATAACAAAATGTGTTCAAAAACCTGAGTTATATCCTAAAACACATGCTGTGCCCCTTATGGTCTAAAACCTGACATGTGGGCAAATCTAAGCTTGTTTTTAATAAAACAAATATAAATATGAATATAATAAATAATACTGCTAATAATAATGACATTATACAAAAGCAAATTGTTATGAATGAACTGAAAAAGCCTCCCGAGATGAAGAAGACATAAAAGCAGTGATTTTTCATATTTATGTAGGCTAGAAAATAATATGTTTTGTAATATTTTAATCCTTAATATTTATATTCTATATCTATTCGTATTATATCCTATATATATCCTTAATATTTAAATTTTTTTCATATGTAAAGATATTTGCCTATTGCTCTCTTGTGCGTATTAAGCAGTGTGTAAGCGAGGCGCAACTCTGCGGCAGAGTTTAGACCGGGTTTGTTTTGGTCTAATGAAAAATCTATTATAGTTTCTCAAAATAGCGACGTGCCAGTCTTGCGCCTTAGAACGCCTCCCTTTTTAGACCAGAACGCCTATGGGCGCACATATGATCGCTAATGCATTTGCTATTTAAACAGCGTAGCGCAACGCCTCAAAACGACTCTTGCGCCAAGCTGAAACTACCAAAAGACTATTGCGCCACGCCTTGTGCCACACTGCGCCGGGTGTATGATAGGGCCCAGAGTGTTTGTGTTAGTGTGTGTGTGTGTATGTTTGTGAATGTGTGTTTGTGCCTCTGCGTGTGTTTGTCTGTGTGTATGATTGTGTACATGTGTGTGTGTGTGTGTGTGTGTGTGTGTGTGTGTGTGTGTGTGCATACATGTTTGTACGCGTGTTTGGTGATTGTGTGCATGCATGTTTGTGTGTTTGTGCATGTTTGTGCTTTTTTCTTTGTTTGTGTGTGTGTGTGTGTGTTCATAATTGTGCGAATGTTTTAGAGAGTGCGTATGTGTGTGCATGTTTGTGAATGTGTGTTTGTGTGTGTGCATGATTGTGTACATGCATGTGTGTGTGTGTGCATACATGCTTGTGCGTGTACATGTTTGTGTGCGTTTTTGGTGATTGTGTGCATGCATGTTTGTGTGTGTGTGTGTTTGTGCTTTTTTCTTTGTTTGTGCATGTGTGTGTGTGTTCATAATTGTGCAAATGTGTTTGTGTGTGTATGTGTGTGCGTGTGTGTTGGTGCCTGTGCATGTTTGTGTGTGTATGCGCGTGTTTGTCTGTGTGTGATTGTATACATGCGTGTGTGTGTGTGTGTGTGTGTGTGTGTGAGAGAGAGTGTTTGTGTGTGCATGTTTGTGTTTTTTTTCCCTTTGTGCGTGTGTGTGTCTGCATGTTTGTCGGTCTGTGTGATTGTGCACATGCATGTGTTTGTGAGAGTGTTTGTGTTTGTGCGTGTACATGTTTTTGTGTTTTAGCTTGTGTGTTTGTGTGTGCGTGCTTGTTTGTACATGTACATGTACATGTTTGTGTGCATGTTTGTTTGTGTGATTGTGTACATGCATGTGTGTGTGTGTGCGAGAATGTTTGTACATTTGTTTGTGCATGTGTGTTTGTGTGCGTGCGTGTTTGTACATCTACATGATTGTGTGCTTGCATGTTTGTGTGTGCGTGTCTGTGTATGATTGAGTGTTTGTGTTTTTTTTTCCATGTTTGTGCGTGTGTGTTAGCATATGCCTGTTTGTGTCTGTGCAAGCAAGTAGCTATCCCAGTGTCAGCGTAACAGCTATGGTTATTTGTGTGTGTGTGTGTGTGTGTGTGTGAGTGACATTTACCTGATCTCCTCTTTTAAGGCCGGCCTCTGCAGCTTTACTGCCGGGTTCCACGCTGTCGATGAAGATGCGAAAGCCCTTCTCGGAGCCGCCCAGCAGGGTGAAGGCCAGCGGGGCTTCCCTCGAGGGTTTGGTCAGGGTCACCACACGCAGCTTAGCTTTGGCAGCACATGCTATGTTTAACAGTCTTAGGTGGCCACACATTTTCTGGTTCAAAGAGAGGAATTACATGAGATTTGTGCACTTCACATGCTCACAGAGGAATCATTTTAAGATCTTTAACTGGATTCTGTTTTAAAGATTCAATTCAATTTTAGCAAATCAAAAGGTTTACCAGTGGTGTAAAGTAACACATGACAAATACTCGAGTAGTTTTTCTCAGGAATTGTAATTCACTGGGTAGTTTTAAAAATGTGTACTTTTACTTTCCCTTGAGAACATTTTTAGTGCAGTATTGGTACTTTTACTCCACTACTTTCCTTCAACCTGCATTCACTCCTTTATTTCTTCTTGTCTATGGGGATTAGAAATATCCGTCCTGTGATTCCTGTCCAATCAAATCACACATTGAAGGTAAATCGCCTCATAATGAACTACCTGGGATATATATTTTTGAAGCAAACTGTTTGGAAGCATTAAAACTGTGCAAGAAGATGTCCACAATCTTTACACGCATTGACGCAGAGACTGTTTAGATACATGTCACTGATGAGAAGATGATGGATGTTTACTGTATGATGACCCAAATGGGCTTGCACACCCAGCAGGCACAAGATGTCAACATGATTGACAATCAGACTTACGTTGTACCCCAACATTGTGGGGATGTTGCATTTAGTTTGGAAATGAAAATCGGTTTGCCATAAGAACCCAACGTTTTACTGATATCAATGTCCAATATCCGACCTAAAATCAACCTAATATCAACATCTAATGATGTTACAGCTTGACGTTGTGTGGACGTTACAACTATTACGTCTATAAGATGTTGGATTTTGTTTCCCATTCCTAATGAATGAATGTCAGTATTTTAAGTTAGTATGACGTTGGTTTAAGATGTTTGCTTGACGTTGGATTTTGGTCACTTTCCAACACAACCTAAAATCAACCAAATATCAACGTCATTTAATGTCATTATTGGACATCAAAATAACGTTGTCCTTAGACGCCAGTCAGACATTACATTTGGTCACCTGACATCACAACCTAAATCTAACCTAATAATAACCTCTTATGATGTTGTGTGTCTGCTGGGAAATAACTAGGGCCAGACAGAATCTGTGGAAGTTTTTTGCTATTTCTGGGGAGAATTTTGGTAAAAATCAGCGGATTTCTGCAGAATTATTTTGGGAGTATCATAACTAAAACTTAATATGTAAAATAAAAAAGTAATACCTTTTTAACTTTTATTTAATGTTTACAAAGCAAATCCAATTAGATTCACTTTATTTGGTAAACAAAGCAAGTCTCGCATATAATATAGCTACTAAAAAACTAAAAATATTACTTAACAAACTGCATTGTACATAAATCAGATTAACATTTTCATATTAGTCAATAATACTACGGTAATTAATTCAAAAACTGAATAAATATAGATTTAAACACATTTACTCAAGTAAATAAACAGAATTGATGATGGGCTAAAAATCTGTGGAAATCTGCAGAATTCGGCACGTGCAGATTACGTGTGGGCCAAGCAATAACTAAATGCACTACAGAATGTTACGTTTACACACACATCCACACATTACATGTAAATGCATCAGCTTTTCACAGTGTAATTTCACTACTCACTACTCATGAGTACTTTTGAAAGGTCTACTCTTTACTCGTACTTTGAGTAATATTTACAACAGATGCTTTTACTCTGCTTCCACTACTTTTTAGGTGAGTAATGGTACTTTAACTTAAGTATGACTTTTCAGCATTCTTTTCACCACTGAGATTTACTAATCAACTTGGTAATTTAACATTTTATAACCTAATCACATCTTCAGAAAAAAAGATGATTAATTGAATGATTAAAAGTGTAATAAACAATACATTCAAATGTATGTTTTTGTTCACGACAATATTTTAAATTATTAAAAAGAATTATAAGTACAAAGGTTTGTTCTCATAAAGTTTATTACTTTGAGAAGTGCATTCTACTGAAAAACTGCAACCCATCTCTGGCAAATAATACCATTTTTGTTAAACGTTTTAGAATTTTTAATGTTGTTTTTCCTCAAAACATGGAAAAAAAGTGATTATCTCACTAAAACAATTCAATTAATTGTTTAATAAAAAAAAAAAAAAAAAAAAAAAATATATATATATATATATATATATATATATATATATATATATATATATATATAAATATGAGCAATATCACACTCGTAGCAGTGCGATATGGCTGTATATTGGCACTGGTGGGAGGCGTGCGTTGTGGGGCCTTAGTGCCCCCACCAGTGCCAATATACAGCCATATCGCACTGCTACGAGTGTGATATCAGTTTGACGGCATAATTGTGTATATAAAAACAAAATCAAACATGGAGAGTCTCAAAAACCCTTTTGTATGGGGAACTACTTTCTTCCGGATTCAAATCATAAGCTGACAGTTAAATAGTTGAGCAAGCATCTTTTAAACTTTAGATCTGTAGTGTCTGCTTTTTGCTGGCTTAATGTGGGCGGAGTAATACACAAAGGGTAAAGAGGCTGTAGGAGTTCTAATATTGCAGAATATCACACGTCTATCAGCCAATCATATTTAAGAACCAGACAGAACTGTTGTATAAATAAATCTATCTATCTATCTATCTATCTATCTATCTATCTATCTATCTATCTATCTATCTATCTATCTATCTATCTATCTATCTATCTATCTATCTATCTATCTATCTATCTATCTATCTATCTATCTATCTATCTATCTATCTATCTATCTATATATAAAATGAATATTTAGAGAAGTGCACTGTACTGTAAAATTCTGAATCATACAGCTATCTATCTTTGAGATTCCACTTTTGTTTTTATAACTGTACTGAACTGAAGTCACAGGGCTCTATCAAAGGCCCTTTAAGAAGTATTCTATAGTCTTTGGCTCTATACTCAGTAGATCATTAAGAAAAGGACTGACCTCTCTCTCCAGATTGTACTCGAACTCCTCCAGAAAATGTGTCATTGCAGGGTCGCCCTCAAAGTCATTAAAGTGATTGTTCACCCACAGCAAGACTACCCGTGTAACCTGAGGAAACATCAGCTCATGTCAAGCCTTACTGATAAGAGATGCGGAGCTGTGTGTGTGTGTGTGTGTGTGTGTCTGTATGGGTGTTTGTTTGTGCGTGAACATGTTTGCTAGTGTTTATGTGTGTGCGTGTTGGTGTGTGCATGGTTGTTTATTTGTGTTTGTGTTTGTGTATTTTGTTTTGTGTATTTTGTTTGTGTATTTGTGTGTGCGTCTGTGTTTGTTTGTGTGCATTTGCGTATCTGCATGTTTGTTTGTGTTTGTGCAGGTTTGTGTGTGTGTGTCTGTGTGCATGTTTTTGTTTGTGCGTGTTAGTCTGTGTGTTTGTTTGTGTGTGTTAGTGTTTATATGCATGCTTGTTTATGTCTGTGCATGTTTGTGTGTGTGTGTGTGTGTTTGTGTGCATGAGTGTTTATATGCTTGAGTGTTTATGTGCATGCTTGCGTACGTGCAGATATGTTTTTGTGTGTTTGTGCGCAATTGTTTGTCTGCTTGCATGTTTGTGCAAGTTTCTTTGTGTATGTGCATGTTTGTGGGTGTGCGTTTAAGTGCATGCATGTTTGTGTGCGTGTGTTTGTGTGTGTATGTGTGTCTCTGTGTATTTGTATGTGAGAATGTTTGTGTATGTGTATGTTTTTGTTTGTGTATGTGTGTGTGTGCATGTTTGTTTATGTATTTGTATGTGTGTGTGTGTGTGTGTGTAAGTGAGTGTTTAAGTGCATGCATGTTTATGTGCATGTTTGTGAGTGTTTTTGTGTGTATGTAAGTGTTTGTCTGCATTTTTTTGTGTATTTGTGTGTGAAAATGTGTGTGTGTATTTTTGTGTGTGTGTTTGTTAATGTATTTGAATGTTTGTGTGTGTTTGTGCATGTTTGTGCGTGTGTGTGTGTGTGTGTGTGTGTGTGTACATGTTTGTTTATGTGTTTGAATGATTTTGTGTATTTGTGTGTGAAAATGTGCGCGTGTATTTTTGTGTGTGTTTGTTTATGCATTTGAATGTTTGTGTGTGTTTGTGCATGTTTGTTTGTGTGTTTGTGCATGTTTGTTTGTGTGAGTGTGTGGGAGTGTGTGTGTGTGTACATGTTTGTTTATGTGTTTGAATGATTTTGTGTATTTGTGTGTGAAAATGTGTGCGTGTATTTTTGTGTGTGTGTTTGTTTATGTATTTGAATGTTTGTGTGTGTTTGTGCATGTTTGTTTGTGTGAGTGTGTGGGAGTGTGTGTGTACATGTTTGTTTATGTGTTTGAATGTTTTTGTGTATTTGTGTGTGAAAATGTGTGCGTGTATTTTTGTGTGTGTGTGTTTGTTAATGTATTTGAATGTTTGTGTGTAATTGTGCATGTTTGTTTGTGTGAGTGTGTGTGTGTGTGTGTGTGTGTGTGTGTGTGTGTGTGTGTGCACCTTGTCCCTGAGGCTGGGGTCATGAAACCACTCCAACAGTCTCTTGCCCACCACCATGGGGCTCGGCAGGAAGGTGCGGTAGGTGAGCAGGAAGTCCTCGATGTAAGTCGGGTCGACCACTGAGTGCTCTTCTACAAGGTGCATGGTGAGACGCTCTGATGTGCCCTGCATAAACACACACAGTACACTCTTTAAAGATTGCACAAGATGTTTGGCCACAGGAGAAATGGTCGTGCACAACTGAGTCTGGTTTCTCTCAAGGTTTTTTCCATTCACTTTCGTCAATTGGTGAAGTTTGTTCCTCGTCGCTGTCACCGCTGGCTTGCATGGTTCAGGATCTGTAGAGCTGCGTATCGGTGGATTTACTTTACAGTGTTTGGACTCTCAGTAGTGAAAATTAAACCACACTGAACTGAACCTAACTGAACTTCAACTCTGAAACGGTGTCAGTCCAGTTTTCAATTTACTAGAAATTCTATGTGAAGCTGCTTTGACACAATCTACATTGTGAAAGTGCTAAAAAAAATAAAGCTGAATTGAATCATGATGAAATAAGTGACTTGTAATGACTTCAATCCAACATTTCTGATACAGAACTGACTAGAACAGCAGCAGGTCTGTTTTGTTGTTGTTGGGCAAACTTCCCTCAGATACTGGACTTTAAATCATTAGACATTCAGTCCATATATGCTACTGTGCTAAGCATATTTCCATGTTCAGAGATCAATAAAGGCCTGTGTCCGATGCATCTGTGTAAATCAGTGCAAATGTCACGTCAATCCAGACTGGAAGTCAATGTTTTCTCCAGCATGCGGTTTTGGCTGTCTGGCACATTTATGTTCTCGCTGCATTTAATGCAAACTCACAACATGATAGAAATATGACCAGCCAATATAAGCAAGCTATCGATAAACCTCAAGACAGGTCACATCCCTTTCAGAATGTTAAGCTATATTATGACCTGATTATATTGGATTATCATGCAATTAAAAGAAATGAAATTAAAAATGCTTCTTTTTAAAATAACAATTTATAAACCATTTTAGTTGCAGTTTTGAGAATATGTGTTAAGTAAAAAGCTATATCATGCAATTTTTGCATTATTATTATTATTATTATTATTATTATTATTATTAGTAGTAGTAGTAGTAGTAGTAGTAGTAGTATTAGTAGTAATAGCATTAATATAAAACACTTACATATGAATACAAATATTAACAGTTATGGTTGTTGTTCTCTTTCACAAAAATATTTTACTTTTAACAACAAAACATAAACCATTTTAGTTGCAATTGTCCCATTATTATAATTAGCATTTTTGTTATTATTAATATTAGTAGTAGTAGGAGGAGGCGGAGTAATAATAGCAATAATATAAAACACTCACATATTACGAAAAACCTTAACAATCATGGTTGTTGTTCTCTTTGCTTTCAAACAAAAAAACATCTTTTATTTTGGAAGAAAAACTAAAATTTTTAAATCTTTTTTAAAATGACAATTCATAAACCATTTTAGTTGCAATTTTGAGAAGATGACTTGTGGAAAAACATGTATGTAATTTTTGCATTATCATTATTATTATTATTATAATTATTAGTAGTAGTAGTTATATCATAAATATAAAACACTTGCATATCAATAAAAATATTAACAATCATCGTTGTTGTTCTCTTTGCTTTTAAACAGAAAACATCTTTTATTTTAGTAGAAAAACTAAAATCGCTTCTTTTTAAATGACAATTCATAAACCATTTTAGTTGCAATTTTGAGAAGATGATTTGTGGAAAAACATGTATGTAATTTTGCCTTATCACTATTATTATCATTAATATTAGTATTAATATTAGTAGTAGTAGTGGTAGTAGTAGCATTATTATGAAACACATATTATTAAACAAATGAACAATTATGGTTTTATTTTAATTTTAATGACAATACCTAAACCATTTTAACAGCAATTTTTTTTTTGCATTATCATTATTATTATTATTATTATTAGTAGTAGTAGTAGTAATAATATCATTAATATAAAATACTTATCGATAACAAATATTAAAAATTATGGTTGTTTTTCTCTTTGCTTTCAAACAGAAAATCATCTTCTATTCTAGCAGAAAAACTACAATTGCTTCTTTTTAAAATGACCGTTTTAGTTGCATTTTGAGAAGGTGTGTTGTGAAAAAAAAAAAATAATAATGCAATTTTTGCAATCTTCATTGCTCGGTCTAAAACGTGTGGGGAAAAGGCAGATTTGTGTTTTTGGTGCTTCATTTTTGCTCATTGCTTTACGTCTGGGTGTAAAAAAAAAAAAAAAGCAACCCCTGTTTGTACCTTGATGACGATGTGCCCTTTCCTGGTGCCTGTGCGGTCCAGCTCTCTGTGCTCCTTCACCATCACGATCTCTCCTTCCTCCTCCACCTTCTGCATGTTCTTCTCCACCTGGTTGAGGATGCAGCAGTAATCCTGCTGAGCGATGCACACAAACTGACGGAGACAGAAAAAAGAGATCAGGCGTGAGCCCAAAAACCCAGCAGAGAAAAGTAAATCACTTTTAAAACGCCGCCTCATATTCAAATGATTCCCCCGTGATAATTACAGCAGAGCACTGAAACGGAGAGGAGATTTCATTATTGCTAAGTTTTCACTAATCACCTCATTCTTCTCCTGCTTAATGAATGAGCAGAGTCTCATCAGTCCTGCAGTAAATGAGTCAGTGCTAACAGCTCAACACAGGTTGGGCGGGATACAAGAGACTTTCTTCCCCTTAATTTTACTTTTTCATTAGATCCCCGACCCTTGATTCTTCATTCAGTTTTTGTACGAATGAATGAATGAATACAATTAAGTGTAAAATCATTTGCACTGTATTATCAGAATGAGGTAAATTCCTTGTTATCACCATCGTCATCATCATCATCATTATTATTATTATTGTATAATTACTATTATTATTATTATTATTATTATTATTATTATTAATATTGTATTATTATTATTATTATTATTATTATTATTGTATTAATACAATTATTATTATTATTATTATTATTATTGTATTATTATTATTATTATTATTTTATTACTATTATTATTATTATTTTTATTATTATTATTATTATTATTTTACATATTACTACTATTATTATTATAATAATTATATTATTATTATTATTAATATTATTATTTTTGTTATTTTATTATTATTATTATTAGTAGTAGTAGTAGTATTATATTATAACTATTATTATTATTATTATTATTGTGTTATTATGAATATTACTATTATTATGTTATTATTATTATTATTATTATTATTATTATTATTATTATTATTATGTTTTAACTATTATTATTTTATTATTATTCTTATTATTATATTATTATTATCATCATCATCATCATTATTATTATTATTATAGCAGCTATTAAAAGTGCAATATATGTAAGGTTTTATTTAGTGCTGTGCAGTATACAATTTAATGCATTAATGTATTTCAATTATAATGATTTTTAAAGACAACAATATAGAGAAAACAAATTAATTAACGCAGTAAAAATGACACAAAAATGTAAATTTATAATAATCTGGGATCAAATAAGCTTCTAAGCAATACCTAAAACTAACATTTTATTATTATTAGATTTTATTCAATATAATTATTGTCGTTTTTGTTGTTACAGCTGTGATTAATGCATGCTTAATGGGATTCAGGTCAAGGGATTGGCTTGGCCATCGCATAACATTCCACTTCTTTCCCTTCACATTGGTTGCTTTTGCAGTATGGGACATCAACACAGTTTTTAGCTCTATACACCACACAATAGATGTGAAAAGAATAGATTTAAAATTAAACAAAACAATATTCGGGTAATATTTTCTGCTCATATACAGCCAAATGCTTCAGAATTCATTAGACAGTGCTTCACAGAGTAGATAAACAATGACCTAAAGCATACTCCAAAAGCAACCAAAGAGGTTTTAAAGTAAAAAAAAAAAAACAGTAGGTTATGCAATGGCCAAGTCAATCACTTGACCTTAATCCGATTGAGCATGCATTTCACTTGCTGAAGACAAAACTTGAGGAAAAATGCCCCAAGAACAAGCAGGAACTGAAGACAGTTGTAGGCCAGCCAGAGCATCACAATGAATGAAACCCAGCACCTGGTGATGTCTATGCGTAATTGACTGCAAAGGATTTGCAACCAAGTATTAAAAAGTGAAAGTTTGATTTATGATTATTATTCTGTCCATTTATTTTTGGTCCCTTAACCAGTGGGAGGCACATATGCAAACTGTTGTAATTCCTACAGCGTTCAACAGATTTGAATGTAGATGCCATCAAATTAAAGTTGACAGTATGCAGTTAAAGTGCATCTTGGTTTTTTCAATTCAAATCCATTGTGTCGGTGTATATAGCCAAAAATGTTAGACTTGTCGATGTCCCAATGTTTATGGACCTGTCTGTATATTATGTTACTGAACTGTAAACTGTTTTGTAGTAATAATAATATTTTAAATATAATAATTCTAATAAAAAATACACATAAAACTGTAAAATAAAATCGATAAAAATATATATTTATTATTCTTTTATTTTTCCCTTTTAAACTGTAAACAGTTGAGCTTTTATTTTGGCAGAAGAACTGCACATCTTCTTCTTGTTTGATGGCAAGAAATATTAAATAACGTTTTAATTACAATTTCTGGAAAATATTTGGCAAATACATAATTACAAAACAAAAACAATTCAGCATTCTTCACACAATGAATATTCAGATTTTGTTCGCAACAAAACAACGCACCTTAATACAAAGTTACAATTAAAAATTTTTTTTTTTTGATTTGGGCTAAACTTTGTCCTGTTGACTCACCTGGCAGTCATCAACCTTGGTCTTCATCACCCCCTTCATGTACTCTTTCTCCATGGTGGGAGAAACGCCGAAGCTGTTGCCCATGCAGAGGATTTCATTGCGGCTGTCTGGATGCGTCACTTCCACCGATCCATTCAGAATCACAGACCACGAGTCCAGCTGCAACACACATACACACGTTTACAGTAACACACATTTACACTCAACACTTACTAATGCTTCAATCTGATTGGTTATGGAATGTTAAGCAGGGTTGTCAATTCATTTCATTGGTTTAATAATTTAAAAATAACACATTGAATCTAAGAGTTCATTAAGTGAGAATGAAATATGTTGTCAAGCTGCGATAAATGGTCTAGAAATACGGCTGAAGTCAAAATTATAGGCCCTAATTAGAATTAAATACTGAAAAGAAAAAGTACAGCTTTTGTAGCCTAAAAGTTTAAGCGCAATTAATTTAAAGTAGAAACAAAATATTTCTTTCTAAGGCCACTTTGGTGGCTTTAGAAACAAAAAATGTCCTTGCTTAGACATTTATCACTTTAAATGCACACTCACTGGCCACTTTATTAGGTACAACTGTTTGTTAACGCAAATCTCTGATCAGCCAATCACATGGCAGCAACTTTATTATTTTACTTATTTCAGAAACTGCTGATCTACTCTGATTTCACGCACAACCATCTCTAGGGTTTACAATGGACCAAAAAAGAGAAAATATTCAGTGAGCAGCAGTTCTGTTAGTGCAAATGCCTTGTAGATGCCAGGGCTCAGAGGAGAATAGCCATGAAGGATTAAGGCCGTTCTGAAAACAAAGGGGGTCCAAACCGGTACTAGTAAGGTGTACCTAATAAAGTGGCCGGTAAGTGTATATTAACCGCTGCATGGTGTAACTAGTTAGATCCAAATTTATAAGGTGTGAAGTTTTTAAAGTGGTTTAAGGCACAGACTTCTCTTATGCTTCTCTTACCTTGATTTTTTGTCTTCTTTCTAGTAATAATATGAAAAAAGAAGCATTTTCAAGACAACTAAAAGATATTGTTTTGTTTTAAGAAACAATATGCCAAAGTTCAGTGAGTTTTTCATTAAAACAAGATAAATAATCTGCCAATGGGGTAATCAAAATAATTTTATATCTAAATGAAATACACGATTATTTTGCGTACCACATTGGACAATAATTTAGCTTGTTTTAAGATTAAAAAAAAAAGCGCTTAATTTTGGCATATTATTGCTTAAAACAAGACACTATCTTTTGCTTGTCTAGAAAACGCAGAAATGTAGATATTTGGACTAGAAACAAGTGTTTAAGGTGATGCAATTGTTAGCGGTGCAAAAACATTTGTGGAGCAATAAAAAACATGCACAGACACTTCAATAATTGTTTTGAGCACTGATAACAGCAGTGAACATGTCATCGCAGTCAACTGTACCAGCCTCAAGGCCTGTCCTGCTTTCAATTATATGGATGCATTAGGGGGGAAAATGGGTCTTTTTGGCATGTCAATGCTGAGATAAGGAGATAAGTGATTCCCGCTGTACCGCGGGCATCTTGTAATCTCAAGACGCCGAATGCTGGCTTCCATTCAGGTTTAACAGTGCAGAAGCTGAATGGATGATTGGCTGTGTATAAAGCAGGAGATGGACTCTAGTGCATGTTAGTCAAACCACAGAATCCAGATTAGCATAAGACTGAAGCCAACGCTGGTGAAAGGTTAAAGGTGAGTGACATTAGTTGACAAAAATGACAAGATTAGCATTGAAGAAAGAACTGAAATTGAATTTGGGTGAAATGCTAGGCTAACTGATATTGATGTTGGAAAAGGTTACAGCAGAGAGGAAAATCAAAGAACAATTCATGAAGAACAGATTTGCTTATTTCAGAAATAAAGTAAATTTTATCACTCACAATTTAAATGACTTTTTTAAAAGTTTGGCATAAGCCAGTTTTGGCATGCTGTCCTGTTAGAGAACCTTGAACTCGGAGGTAGATGAGCCCAATGCTCCCACCTGGTCAATAAGCATTAGGAGGGATACGAGATCAGGTAGTTCTCGATAACTTCCCAAGAATAGGCCGCCAGCTGCGCCAGTGTGTACGTATTAGGTGCTTGTGACTTTAAGTTGTGTTATATGTCTTTAGACTGTGGGAGGAAACCAGAGTCCCCGGGTGAAACCCACGCGAACATGGGTAGAACTTGAAAACTACACACAGAGAGTGTCGACCGCTCAGATAGTGTTTGAATCAATGAACTTCATGCTAGCCACTGAGCTGCCGTGTCACCCGATCCTAGATTTGAGGAGAAGGGATGGATGGAGGGCACTTCCAAAATGAAGATAAGGAATAAAGTTTAGACTGAATATTTATGTTTAATTTGGAATAATTGGATAGGCTAGCTAGTGATTAGCGATAGGGACCAGCTGCAGTCAATCCTATCATATGCTCCTCTTAAATTTAGTTTGTGAAACTTCACATATTTGTGTCTGTACCTTGGTAGTAAAACAGTGCTTTACAATATAACCAACAGGTCACTGAACGGTTTTAGCTGTAACTTTGTTGCAAAGGATTTTACAGAGATCTTCAATCAGGTCTAGTTCAGGACACTGGGCTGCCATTACATTATTTTAATGTTTTCAGCTTCAATGAACTGCAGTGTTTTACAAAATAACCAACAGTTCATTAAAGAGTGTTTAGCTGTAACTTTATTGCCAAGGATTTCACAGAGATTTTCAATCAGGTTTAGGTCAGGACACTGGGTTGCCATTTCATTATTGTAATGTTTTCAGCTTGAAGAAACTGCAGTGTTTTACAAAATAACCAACAATTCACTGAAGAGTGTTAGCTGTAACTGTTGCAAAGGATTTCACAGAGATTTTCAATTAGGTTTGGTCAGGACACTGGACTGCCGTTACATTATTTCAGTGTTTTCAGCTTCTAAGAACTGCTTTCCCTGTTTTATTGTGTTCAGGGTTTATTGTGCTGCATGAAAGCTGTAGTCTGAGCAGGGTAATTTTTTTTACTTCTGCATCTCGTGGATCACAGTTGCATACTCTTCAATGTAGACTCATGAGGACTTCTCAAATATTAAACACATAATTTTAAGAAAAAATTTACACATCGCAACAACGCAGAGCAAGATTTGTAATAAGTCGGCTGCATCCCAGTACTCAACATCTTGCATAGTAAGTCAATACTAAAAGAAAGTTTGGCCCCCATTTATATTCCCAGTGTTTGTCAGATAATTAATGAAATAACCACCAGCTGCAGATTAACACCAATAACGGGATATCTGTAAGGCTGCATTCAAAATCACATACTTTCAGAGCATATAGTACATTAACAACAGTATGTGAGCCAATAGTATGTCCGAATTCATAATATTTGAAAAACAGTATACGAGAAGTACCCGGATAATCTACTACTTCCGGTGAGATTCTGAAGTGTGCAGGTCACATGATAATGCTGGATGTAGTACTGTATGTCCAAGCTCCATTCATACGTAAATTACCACAGTATATATCTAATTTGTTGGAGTACTGTTAAAATACTTACAATACCAGATCAGCAGATATACTCTTACTTAAGATGCCATTTTTTCCACACATAGTGATCTGCATTCCCTAACTATGCTCCAAATGTTTGGAATGAGCTTCGACATACAGTTGAAGTCAGTATTATTAGCGCCCTGAATTATTAGCGCCCCTGTTAAATTTTTTCCCAATTTCTGTTTAACAGAAAGAAGATTTTTTTCAACAGATTTCTGAACTTGATAGTTTTAATAACTCATTTTTAATAACTGATTTATTTTATCTTTGCCATGATAACAGTAAATAATATTTGACTAGATATTTTTCAAGACACTTTTATACAGCTTAAAGTGCCATTCAAAGGCTTAACTAGGTTAATTAGATTAACTAGGCAGGTTAGGGTAATTAAGCAAGTTAATGTATAACAGTGGTTTGTTCTGTAGACTAGGGAAAAATATAGCTAAAAGAGGCTAATACCTTTGTCCCTAAAATGGTTTAAAAAATTCAAAACTGCTTTTAATCTAGCCAAAATAAAACAAATAAGACTTTCTCCAGAAGAAAAAAATATTATCAGACATACTGTGAAAATTCCCTTGCTCCATTAAACATAATTTGGGAAATATTAAAAAATAAAAAAAAAAATTCAAAGGGGGCTAATAATTGTGACTTTAACAGTATGATACTACATATGAAATCTATGGCTGTTTAAAAATATATTAAAGACTATAAATTTAGAACCGTGCACATTTTTTAACAATTGATTATGATTTATACTATTTTATTTGTGTTTCTATGTGTTGTGACATGTATTTATTTATTATTTGTAACTTTGTCCTATGCTGCCTGTCTTGACCAGGACTCCCTGGTAGAAGAAATATTGTATCTTAATAGGACATTCCTGGTTAAATAATTAAATAAACACATAAATAAAAATACTACTCACCTTCATACTACATAGAATGTACTTTGCTAATGGTCATGAAGTCAAATTCAAATGTAGCACCAACTTGAGCAGCAGGCGATTTCAGATGCAGCCTAAGCGTTCTCTAATGTTGATCAGTGTTCTTTTTCAGATAACTATAACTCAAGCAATGTGCTTCAAAAGTGCTCCTTTACTCATGTTAGAGTAACTCTCCAAACAGGACAAATCAATGACCTCCAAATTTAGGAAATGTTTGTTTTTCTCTATTTTTGATTTCGACTGTAATTTGTAATGGAAATTCTGCCATCGTTTACTCATGCATCACTTATTCAACTCCCAAGTTTATTTCGTCTGTTAAATGCAAAGATAGTTTGAAGAATGCTGCTAGCACCCATTGACATCCATTGTCATTTTTTTAATTATTTTTCTACTATGGAAGTCGATTACTCCCAACAACCAGCTTTCTATAAAATATCCTCTTTCTTAAGTTCGACAGAGGAATGAAAACCACAAAAGGGAGAATAACTGATGAGGTAATCTTCATTTTGGGTGAACTCTCCATTTATAAAGTGAGAGCAGAAAGGCAAAAGTGACAGTAAGTCTGACCGACCTCTTCGCCATCATTAAGGACGATGGTGCCGGCCCGTTCCACCACAGCGAACACCATGACAGCACACAGCTCCCTCCTGACAGACATGGTCATGTTGGCAAAGGCTGGTAGCTGGTGCATGAACTCCAACAGTTGCTCTGCAGAAACAAAAAACAAAGTCTGATTTAAGAGAGAGTCTTTCAAAGTCTCATTGATATTTGCCCTCAGATGCAGTTTATATAACAGCAAGCAAGCATCGAATGCATTATTAATATGAAGCTATTTCCAGAGAACCGGCTAATCCTGCTATGCAATATACAGGACATATTATACATGACAAAATCCATTTCCACAGTAACAAAGAACTAAACAGAAAGTGACTTCTTCAAATAGAGACCCTAAGCAAGGGTTGGAGTTTATTAAAACATTTCTACAACATATGATATGTAATAAAGCTGTCCTATTTACTGCCTTTATTTAGTTTTGATGATATAAATGTATGACTGTAGTAAAAAATATACTGTATTTTTTGTAAACAGTTTAAAATAAATGGCGCGCACACACATAAGCACACGGTCAGCATTCGGTCTCATTCGCACACTGAGAAGAGAAGAGCACACACTAGGGCTGCCCCCGACTAAAGATATTCCTAGTCGACTAACATTCCTGCATTTTAGCGATTAATCAAATAATCGTTCATTTATGATATTAATATAATAACTTGCGTATATACTAGGAATATAGTCCAAGTTGAAGTTTAACACTTCCACGTGACAGAAAATGCTAAAGCATGATATTAGCGCATTCAAAACGAAAATTAAGCGTTTAAAACGGAATAGTAAAGCGTTTAAATACAGTGCTTACACACAAAAATCAGTGACCAGAACGTTATAGGCTAATTATGACATAAAAACAGCAATCAGACTGCCTGTGCATTTTAATAATTTATTATCAAAAATACAAACTGTAACAGTTACATGTCAAACAAACAAACAAACAAAAAAAAAACAGTTTGTAATAAAATAAACTAAAATTTGTTCTTTAAAATAAGTCAAATAAACTTATTAGCAACTTAGGCCTAGTACAAAACTAGGAAAAAAAAAAAATAAATAAATAAATAAATAAATACTGTAGCAAAAACGCAGTTTGGTATAAAATACAGTGGAAAATTAAAATTTATATAATTTTTATATTGTTCAAAAGGAAAATTAACAAAAACGAACAACTTAATAAATGCACATCGCGCAACACCAAAACTTAGAATAAAAAAAGAAGGCAGCAAACAAATTAACAGCCTAATTATGATTGAATTGTTTAGAACAACTATATTTACGACAAAATGTGGAACAAATAATTTAAAGAACACTAATACAAATCAAAAATATCAGAGCAAAGCCACAAACTGCTATTAAGACGACGGATGAGTCTTGACCTGAAACAACAAATTAAAAACATCAGACTAATTTTTCTAACAGAATAAAAAACAACTTCTGCATTATATAAAAACGAAAAAATAAAAATAATATGTATTTATTTATTTGTATAGCCGACCCGATATAAAAATAAAATACCCGTTTTTTTATATATATATATATATAGCCTAACGGATAGCAAACAGAAACACTACAAAAAGGAAATTAAGCATTCTTACCTAAGCTTTCAATTCGATTGAATTTTTTTCATATTATGTGAGAGGAACACCAGCTTGTCCACATTGCTGGGAAGAAGGGAGCTTCTCGACGTGTTCACAATGAAGCCGGCCTTTGAAAAGATGCGCTCTGATGGAGTGGATGTGGAAGGGATACAGTGGAGGCGTTTAGGCGTTAGGCGTTGATCTCTCGTTGCTGATGTCATACACTGACTGCGCTCCCTTGATTGCGTAATTTCACGTGATTTTTTTTTTTTTTTTTGCAACTAACCGACTAATGAAAATGTATTCGACCAAGCCCTCTTCATATCGACTAAAGTTTAGTAAAGGCAGCCCTAGCACACACACATCTCCAGTCATCTTAATATGAGCGCATTAATAGTCAAATAGGTGTCAAAACGCGGTGTTTAGTGATTATTCATATTAACCCTCATTTCTGCAATAAACAAACGAGTTGAGAATCAAAAGACATGTGAAAGAAACCATTAAAGTGAAAGCGCGCGATGTTCCTGCTGCCGCCTGTTTTTATCATCATTAATCAAACAACAAAAGGAGAAAATCCCTCAATGCTCTTGACTGAAGGACTTTTGTAGCTAAAGTGTTTTTCTTACAGTGAAGATGCTTAAAGCACAGTTTGTTACATATTTTTGTTCTATTTTATTTATTTCTCTTTCCTTTGCAGGTTGGAAAATAACTATATGCAGTTGAAGTCAGATTTATTAGCTCTCCCGAATATTAGCAGCCCTTTTCCTCCCCAATTTCTTTTTCATGGAAATAAAACTTTTTTTCAACTAATTTCTGAACATAATAGTTTTAATAATTGAATATAATTTCTAATAACTGATTTCTTTTATCTTTGTTATGATGACAGCGCATAATATTAGACTATTTTCAAGATACGAGCATTCGGATTCAAAGTGCGATTCAAAGCTTAATTAGGGTAATTGGCAAAGTCAGTAGTTTCATCTGTAGACAATCAAAATACTGCTTAAGGGGGCTAATAATACTGACCTTAAAATAGGTTTCAAAATATTTAAACCTGCCTTTATTCAAGCTGAAATAAAACAAATAAGCCTTTCTCCAGAAGAAAAAAATATTAGTGGAAATAATGTTAAAATTCCTTGCTCTGTTAAACATAATTTTGGAAATATTTATTTAAAATAAAATTCTCAGGAGCGCTTATAATTTTGATTTCGACTGATAATCGTTTTGAATAATCGTGATAACAATTATGATCAAAATAATCATGATTATGATTTTACCCAAAATCGAGCAGCCCTAGCGTGTATTAATAGCAACAAAAAGCAAAAGTTACAACACGAAGTTCGCCCAACTTTAAAATTATTTTGAGGTGGAGGAGGTGGGAAAGGGTCGTCATCGCAGCTTGCGCTTATGGTTTATATGCTTTATGATGTCCTCCACCATTCAGGGGAATTTGTGTGTACGAGAGAGATCTCTGGTCTGGTGGGAGCAAATTGTGGCGACTGACCACTTTTCTCCTCTGTGTTTTCCACTGATGTTGTTTACCGCGTTGGCAACTCCACACACGCTCTTCTTTCTGTCATTAAACTGCAGAGAAGCACCACATTGTCGCAAGTTTAATAATGTACAGAACGAAATACCTCAATAAATCCGATCTGCCTGTTTACATGACAGTCGCATTGTCACATATCTGATCTATATCTGATTTATTTCCAAAGAACTGCTTTACTTTTCTTTTTTAAAAGTGTTCAGGGTTTATTGCTCTGCATGAAAGCTGCTGTCTAGTTATACTTGTGCAGTGAATATACACAGTAGGTCTGGTGTAGCCTTCACTGTGCCCTAATGCAGACTTAATCATTTTAGTGTGATGTTTGCCACAATGTTTTGTATTTGCGTGTATAATTGTGTACTTTCTATCATATCAGAACTTACGTTAGCTTGTGGAAAAGTTACTCGTGATGAACTGCAAGTGTGCTTGACATTTTGTTGCACAGATCATGGCCCATTTAACCTCTTGTATCCACTCATTTCAATGCAGTCATTATTTTACAACCAATTACTGGAACTAGCCAGCAAGATCATATTTTTTCTACTGAAGTTAATAGTTTTTTCCCCATCAACTGAAATGAAATCCATCTTCATCACGATGGAGACCAGAGATTTTGGATTGTGCTCTGCCTATGGCCCGTCTGGTACTCGATGACCTGAGCTTGGCACAGCACCACTGAAGCGTAGCTGTAGATTTAGCCAATCAAACTTTAATGCGCTGTGAAAGACTCGACTGAGAGGGTGACCTAGAAAAAACAGCCCGTCTCCCCCTTCTCTTTGTAGTCTCCCCGACCTTTTGTTTCCTTCCTTTTTTTTTGACTGCTTTTGAGAATCTTCTCTTATTTTTTGCATCCTGCCCTAGCAATGGATCTGGTTAGGGGTTATAATGAATTGGCTCACCTATGTCATCATCTGTTCGGTCCATGGGGTCTTTCTCCAGGCAGTCTCGGACGATGTCTCGGCTCATGAGGGGATCTGAGGCACGCTCGATGTCTTCCTCATCATCGTCCTCCTCGGAGTCAACGGCCGTCTCAGGCAGACCGCTGAGGTCCATGTCGCCCGGCTCACTCTCGGTGGCCTGTGTGCGTCACAAAACATTATTTAGTTAATTATGGTAAAGTACTATGTATTTTTGGTTTATATCTCCAAGCTTTTGAGATGTTTTTGCTGAATTAATGCATTTTATTAACACTAGATCTGTATAGGGCTAAGACCTTCCAAACAGACAAAAAAAAAAAAAAAAGAAAGAAAGAAAAACCACTGCGATTCCTGATTATTCTTCATATTCCCCAAACATTAGAGCACGTTTCAAATCCCCATTTAGTTCCAGCTTTTGATTCTGTATTGGTTCGATTTCCATAAAGGGAATTATTTACCCAAAAATAAATTATCAAAATATGCTGAAAATCAAACAAACAAGCAATAAATGCATAAAAATTAACACTGCCAGGGCAGAATTTAAATCTGGGTTTCTCCTTATATCAATATAGGCACAAAAACACTACTAGTAAAAACAATAATAATAATACATATTTATATGCACAAAAAAATGATAAAAAAAATAAAATGAAACAAAAATAATACAAAATACTACAATAAAATATAGCAAAAAATTAAATAAAACAAAAATAAAAATAATACAAAAATAATATATAATTAAAATTAAAATATTACTAAAATAAAATAAAAATATAGACAAATAAAAATTAAATAAAATTAAAAAATTACTAAAATAAAAATTACAAATAATACTAAAATAAAACAAAAATAAAATTATACTAAAATAACACTAAAACAAAATAATACTAAAATAAAATAATCTAAAAAAATTAAATTAAATTAAATTAACACTTTGTTGGAGGCAAAATTGGATAATGGTTTCCTGTTCAATTTACATATCAGTGTATTTCCATGAGCAAAACCAGAGCACATGACATCATGAATTACATCAACCTTATAAACAAAATAATAAAATCATGTGAAAAAAATAAGAAAGTGACAAAAAATATTTAATCAAAACAAATGAAGCAACAAAACTAAAACCTCTGAACACAGAAATACAGAGGCAAATTTTCCTATCTCCACCCCAAGACTTCTCAACAAAAGAAAGAGCCCTGTCTTCACATACACAACAATACAATCTCCAGTGGAAGCCCACCTAAGTCCCTCTCACCTGGCAGACGAGCCCCAGTGATGCTCTACTCCTCCCTGAAACTGCCCACAGTGTGGCCCTGACCAACTGCTTGCAGAAGCCGGTTCCCGGACGCATCTTTACAGCTCCGGCTTCCAGACACTGTTCATTTCTAAAGCCACTCAATGTGGACTCGCACAAACGCATGTCATTTTGACTTAAATGACCTGCATTTCTCATCAAATATTCAGATGGTGCTGAAAGCAGCCACTCAGAAGGCTGAGTGGGCGGGGCCACATCAGAGAGGGAGGAGGGTAACGCAGGTGCCACTGTGCAATAATATAAAAACTAAAAGGCTGTCTATATTGTAGCATCCCTATATTACCAAATACATTGGGAATTGATCATCTAAGAATTATTTTCCATGGCCTTCTTTATTAAGCAGAACACCTCAGGAGAAATACAATTACAATGAACACGCTACATTTTTCAAAAGCACTGTAAAGCTGCTAGTAAAGGCTTGCAATTGCATGCTTTTTTAAAGCTTTGTGCTAAGGTCTGGATTTTGGTGGTGTAACAGATCACAAATCTCATAATTCGGATCACGTTGTGATTTTTTTGTCACGGATCGGTCTATATTTCGCAACAGCCAAAAAAGGAGGAGACAAATGCCATTTGCTTTTCATTTACTACAAAAACAGCACTGCAAGACAGTGACTACGTTTACATGGACACCAATAATAAGATTTTATTGCGATTAAGACAATACTCTGATTAAGAGTCGACCATGTAAACAGCGATTTTTGATTAATTTAATCAGATTAAGGTCATAATCGAACTAAAGAGAAATCGAATTAAGACGTGTGGAGTATGCTGACTTTAGTCGCATTATTAAAGTGCATTACAGACATGTAAACACCTTAATCAAATTATTACCATCATGTAGGGCTTGTCGCCATGTTTTATGACAGGATAGTCCACACACACACACGGCTATATGACACTCTTTGCACCTACCGAGTCAGTGCAGACCACAGACACCTGCATCATAAAATGTGGAGCTTTTTTTTTCTTCCATTCAGCATGCGGTATCAACTTCCATTAAAACGACACTCTTCTAGAAGTTCATAGTTGCATCCAATATCTTGTTTGTCACGGGGGGCATGCCCGAATGAAAGTGAAAGTGTCGGACCGCAGTTAAAGTTGACAAATTAATAATGAAACACCCAAAATGATATGAAACTTCGGAGGAAATGCGGATAGCGCGGTGACACAATGACGTCAATCTAAGTATGCGCTATGACATGTAAAACGTTATCATGAAAGAAACATTCAAAAAGCAACTCATGTAAACACCTTAATCTTATTATTGTGTTAATTAGATTAAGGCAAATCATTTGATTACTGATGTCCATGTAAATGTAGTCAATTTTGGTTTTAACAAACAGAACTTAGAAGCTGTAATTTAATAAAAAATAAAATGAAGAAATAATCAGCTGAATAAAAATAATTGTGAATTAATCAGTACTGTGAAAAATTCCCTGTTACTGCTACTGTTGCTGATAACGCTGAATGTAGAAATCTAACATTATAACCTATATTTATTTTTAGTCTCATTTTCAATTAATGATTCAGTGATTCACTCATAAAACTTCATGCTTTATTGCTAAATGATCATTTTTGAAGAATTATTCAGTGGCATGTTTATGATGGCTGGTTGTCGCCACCTATTTTTTTAATAATGTAATTGCTGGCTACAACTTTCATTTTTGAGCATCAAGTTCTTTTTGAGCGTAATCTTTACCAAAAATAGTAGGGATGTAACGGTATCAGAATTTCACGGTATGATAATACCTCGATATGAATGGCACGGTACGGTATTTATTGAATAATTTACAGGAAAAACAAAACTAATGAAAAGACTCGAAAAAAGTGCCAAAAGTGTTTATTTACCTTAGCAGTGAACATATCAATGACATACAAATTAGCCATCTATCTGTAAGTTTCGAAACAGGAACTTCAATTTTTCAATTTTAATAACAAAAAACTATTAAATCATTTAAAAAAAAAAAAAGTTTTAATTTAGTATTGTTGAAAACTCATCACATTCAGCATTTAATCACTCACTCACTTAGATAGAGATGGGTTTTTTAAGGAAAATTATCATATAACTATAATCTGGTAAACGCTGGGATCTCTGGGCATGTCCCCTGCAACAGAAAAAAAAAAAGCCTCTCATTTGGGACTGAGGTTTCTGGGACAGAGAGATATGATTTAGCCCAGGTTGACAGCAGTGGGTAACGTTGTGCATTGTCTTTCCACCACTTGAGAGGACAAGCCATGAGTGAGATAGAGGTCTCTTTGCGGTACAAGTCAATAGCCCCTTTCACACAGTGATACCGGTAAATATCTGGAAAATTTCCGGAATGACTTTACCGGTAAATTAAAAAAATTGCTGTTCACACAAGCGAGGACGTTACGGAAATTTTCCGGAAAAGAGCATTCACACATCCATTCCAAAATACCGGTAAATTCTGACATCATTCACCACAAATGAGCTATAAATGGCTGCGCTTGAATTTGTAAACATTTGACTAAATTACAAACTCTGTGGATGATCAATATTGTGAACAACTTTCGCAGGATCACTTTCGCATGTCGAGATGTTCAATATGTGCGTGTGCAGGCGCTCACAGGCTGTTTCACAGGCACATGCAAAGCTTGAAGGTAAACAAACAATGGCTTATCATAAACATCTCAACGATGATTATTTACACAGTTGGCATTAAGAAGAACATATAAACGTGATCTGACTAACTTCTAGCAGCTAAATGTGTCTGGAAAAATATTCAAAGGCTTTTATTCTCACAAACCGCGCGGACGTAAATGCGTCTGACTGTTGTGATTGGCTAAAGCAGACGTCTCACGTCAGCACGTTCTAGACGTGCACGCACTTATTACGGCAATCTTCCTTCTGCATTCACACAGCGCAGCATTCCGGCAAATTGCCGGTAATGTTACAACTTCTCTTTCCGGAAAATAGCCAGAACGAATTTACCGGTATTTTCAAAAAGTACCTGTTCACACATACAAGGTTTCCGGAAAATTGCCGGCAATTTTCCGGAAAGATCTGTATGTGTGAAAGGGGCTAATGTCTGCATTAATCTAACAAGTGCGCTGTGTTCTGCAGTCCCCATGACTGTTATTAGTCGTATTCCCCGACTTATATTTCACCACAGTCTGGCAGTGCCTGCATACTGTTTTTTTTTTTTTGTCTGTCATCTTTTCTCCTTATTCGTATCTTTTTAGAAAGAAACTGAAATGCTTCCACACATCCGATTTAAAACCCGCTTTAGGTTCGATCATTTCCAGCTCTTTTTCTTCCCCTCTACTAGCAACACACTCCATTTCCACATTACTAGATCTGCAGTGACAACAGATCGCAAAGGATGATGGCCACGCCTAGGCTGATGGGAATTGTAGTTCCCGCTTTCTCCCGTTCGCTTCATTCGCCAAAGCAAACTTTTTTCAGAAAAATAGTTTTATTGAGTCATGCGCCTACGGTATTATTGAAAAAAATTACTATTGCGGTATGACGGTATTTACAATATTGTTACATCTCTAATAAATAGCTAAACTACAAATTGTTCTCCCAGTTCTTCTGTGTTATTTGACTGATTGTAACTGTATAACTAACTCAAAAGACTCAATTTCTTTCTTGATTTTTGCATTTTTCAAACAGATTTAAATACAGCAATTCGAAGGATTAATAAACATTTGCAAAACACCACCATTTATCATTTATGTTGCGTGGGTGTTGAGATCCCGATCTTTTAATGATTAATCAGGCAGCTTACACTGAATGCATTAATGCGAACTAAACAAGTACTGACAGAAAACACCTTCAATAACCTCAGAAAGCCACCACATCCGGAACAACCCACCAC